AGCACCTGGCCCATGGGGGACACCGTGCCTGGCACAGCAGGGGTCACACCCAGTCCCGCGTTCATGCCTAGAGCGACGCCAGGAGGCCCCCAGCCCTGGCTTGTGTCCACACGGGGGCCTCCAGCCGCGGGGTGCAGGTCCCCGGGAGCACGGGTGAGCATGGCTGCTGTGGTGACACAGAGCCTCCCGCAGGGGCACCCACACCCAGGAGGCCTCGAGGTGGAAACAGCCCGGGCAACAGAGACCCTGGGGCGCGGCTCTGCGGCAGCTTCGCAAGAACTCAGAGGGCCCTGGCGCGTCAGCCCATCCCCTCAGCTGTTCAGACCCGCTGATCTGCACGGAAGCCTGAGCTGCCCCTGCATGCTGCTGACTGCCAAGGCCACTGCCCAGTGGCCCGGCCCAGCCTTTCCCACACAGCACCCGATGTGGACCCCGCTGGGTCCAGGCAGGCGCTGCCGGCTGAGGCTCAGAAGCCGCGACGCAGCAGGAGGCGGGGCTGGGGCCAGAGGGGAGAGCCACGTGGGGGCCTCCCGTGTCCAGCCAGGCGGGCGTGGGGGGGGGGCGCGGGAGGGGCGGGAGGGAGCCCTGTGTCTGTGCAGAGGAGGGCCTGGGCAGCTCGGGCTTGGCATCCGGCCAGCAGCCCGTGTCCCGGCAGCAGCTGGCATGGGCAACGTGGCTGGCCTGGCCCCGGGGACAGGCAGGCGCCCTTTAAAGGGACAGTGGCAGCCAGACCCTTCCCTGGGCCGCCCACCCTCCCACCTCCCCCGGTGATTTCCTCTCCCTGCTGAGGCTCGTCCACGACCGGGGCTGGCCGGAGGGCAGCGGGCTGGACGGGCCCCAGGAGTCAGGCCACACGCTCTCTCAGGGGCAGCAGACCAGGCTGCCCGGGAGCCCATCGAACTCAGGACGTGATCCCAGAAAACCTGTGGTCTACTCCAAGCCACCTCGTGGCCACGGGCCACGAAGGACCCAGTGTTGGGGCAGGCGCCCGCCTCATGTCAGGACATGGCCCAGCCTCAGGAGGCGTGTGGCAGCACCAGTGCCCGCGACTGGCGGGAGGCCGCGCTCCACGGAAGCTACTCCGGACGGTTTCTGGGTCAGGACAACTTGTCACGGCTGCACCCAGCTCAGAGGGAGTCACCCAGAGACAGGCGCCCTCCAGGCGAGGGCCCCGGCCGGCAGAGTCTGGCAGAGGTGCTGGGGAGGGGATCGCAGGACCGGCCCGAGCCCGGGCCCTCCAGGCACCTCCAGGCCACAAGCAGGGCTTTGTCTCACTGGACGCTTTCGGCGCCAAGGACAAACACACCCGGGGAGAAGCCGGGCAATCCTCACCGTGGCGGGAGGGCCGGGAAGCTGGAAGCAGAGTAAAGTATAACAAGCCCAGTGGGGCGGCAGCTGAGCCACACGGGGGGCTGGGTCCAGGCAGATCCCCGTACAGAGACACCCCAACTACTAAACAAGACCCCCAAACGCTCCTGCTGTGACCCCACCCACTGTTCATCCACTCAGCCCAGGACCCCAGTCCAGGCCCGGAACTGGGGCAGCTGGGAGCGGGGTGGAGGCAGGACCCGCCCAGGCCAGGACAGGACACACCCAGGCTCGCCCTGCCGGCCGCGTGGAGGCCCCCGGGACGCCAGCCACACGCCCAGCCCGCGGGGGCCACTCGCCTTTTCCCATGGACCTCAGAGTAACCTGGAGCGAAAGGTCACGGGAGATGCGGGGGGGCCCTGGCCTCACCCACGCCCCCACAGAGGCCCGCGACACCCCACTCCTTCCTCCAGTCCCCCCGCCGCCGCATCCCTGTGGAGCTGCTCGGCCACCGCCTGTCCCCCTCCCCGCCCCAGCGGAACTTCCCCGAGCACGCCCGGCCCCCAGCAGCAGGCCCGGCGCTGCCCTGGGTCTCTGCTCTTGCCCTCGAGGCGCCAGGGCCCAAGCGGGCGTGGGGCAAGTGCAGCCGAGGAAGCGGCCAGCGGGATGCAGGAGGGCCTGGCTGGTCCCCCACCCTGGCGCCTGCTCTGGGCAGTCAGTCATGCCCAGGTGGACCCCAGGGTGTGGCCCGGCTCAGGCGAGACTTGTGTCTCTGTCCAAACCCTGGGCCTGCGCCAGCCGAGCGGGGCTGGGTCTCAGGCCGTGGCTGTCCTTCCCACCCCCACCTGGACCCCCGTGCCGAAGGGAGCGTCCTTGGGGCCCTCGGCTGCCGGACCCTCACCCCGTGGCCAGGACGGAGCAGCCCTCATGGGGCCTCACATGCGGAAGCCCTAACCCTAAGCCGGTCGGGACGTGGCTGTACTGGAGACCGGGCCTTTGGGGAGGTGACCAAGGTCAGCTGAGGTCACGTGGCTGGCCCCGATTCAGAATGGCAGGTGTCCTGTGAGGGGAGGATATCTGGACACGGGCGTGTGCGGAAGAAACCCCCCCGGAGGACACAGAGGAGTCAGCTGTCCTGGTGCCCCGGGAGCCCGCCCAGGGAGCAGGCCCCCACCCAGATCCCTGGCCTCCGGCCTCTGGGGGCCCCGCCTTTCTTGCTGCTTCCTCAGGGCAGCACCCCCCACTCCGCCAGAGGCACCTGGCCGTGTCCTACCTGCTAGACCCGCAGGCCGCCTGGAGGACAGCAGCGGTCCCGGGCGACTGGCTCGGGGCGGCCCCTTGGCAGAGCGGCCCTGGCAGGCCCTCCCGGATCAGGCCTCTCCGCTGCGACCCTGACCCTTGTGAACACGTGCACGGAGGTGCTTCGAAGCCACCACACTCGCCACCGTCTCCAGAGACCCACACGTGTGGTCCAGCCCTCACACAGTGCCAGCAGCACCCCCATGCATGGGGAAACTGAGACTCGGACACCACAGCCGGGACTTGGATCCAGGCTTGTCTGACCCGGATGCCATCCCCTGCCTCCGCCCAGTGCTGGCTGGAAACCTCCCCGGCCACCTGGAGTCAAGACGCAGCAGAGCGGGCAGGCGCTGCCCGGGGCCTCGACGCCGTTGCCAGGCATCTCCGAGGCCACAGTGAGCAGCAGAAGGAAGGAGCGCCTGCAGCCTGGCAGCGCACATAGGGGAGCTGCTGGCCTGGGGGGGCGGGGGACAGGTGCCACAGGCCCTGACCACGGTCATCTGGGCAGCTGGAGACAAGACCAAGCGGTGCCCAGCCCCACATGCTGGTGTGGGCTCTGGAAGGAGACCAGCCTCTGGGGGGGCGGGGGCTACGGCCTGCAGTGACCAGAGACCCTGAGCTGCCACCGGAGCACCGCGGCCAGCACAAGGGGCCACACCGGGGCTCCCCACCATGGGCGCAGATGGCAGTGACTACTGTGTGTGGTGTGGGCGGGGGCAGGAGCCACAGGTGGGTGGGAGCACGCTCACGCCAGTCCCAAAAGCGTGGGTCAGAAGGCCACGGCAGCGGCGACCGCAGGCCCTGGGGCTGGCGCGTGTATGGCTTCCCACGTGTGCCTTTCCACACCCGGACGCCAGCTCGGGACACGCCACATTCGCCCAGGACCACCGGCAGGAGCCAGTTCAGCCTGTCTCCTGGCCTTTTCCAGCCGTGACCCCACTGCCCGCTGCCCACACACTCCGCCTCCCAAGACAGCAGCCACAGATGGGGGGGCAACACCCCTGCCCGGCTCTCTCTGATTACAGGACCGGAGGTATCAATTATAGCCAGAGAAAGCATAACATTACTCCCGTGCACCCTGCCATTCCCCACTGCCATTAGATAAGTGTCTGGAGGCTCTGCCAAGTCTGGGGGTGCCCTGCTCCCCAGCCACCTCCAGACACCAGGTTGCCCATTTCAGAAATCCTCTTCCAGAGAATTGTTCCTCCCACCGCCCGCCATTTGCTCCCAGCCTCCCCCGACACCACAGCCGGTGCGGCCCTCAGCGCTGGGCAGGGAGGGGAGGGCCCTGTTCTCCAGGGGAAGGTGGGGGTCTCTGGAAACACCCCCCAGGCAGAGAGCACAGAGCTCACTGAATGCACATCCCTCCCGTGCTCAGCGCCCCAGGCAGCTGCCCCCTCTGCTGCCCCAGGACGGGCCTTCCTGCAGTCTGTGGCCAAAGAGCCTCCCGGGAACGAGCCCAGAAGGCGGGAGCAGCGCGGGTTCGAATCCCCGCCCCTCTGCGTGAGCTCAGCAGGCGACTCAAAGCCGCGCACCCTGAAAAATGGGGCGAGGGCCCCTCCCTGCCAGGGAATGGAAGGTCGAGCCCCAGGCCCAGACCTGGCCCCAGGACCTCTCAGCGCGCGGCTCCTCAGGCCGGGCCGGTCGCCGACTCTCCTCAGACGGCTCCGCCGAGGCCTCGGGTTCCCGGGGCGCGGGGCGCGGCCGCGGGGGCGGCGTGGGGTTTCCCAGCGCCCCGCAGGGTTGTCAGACGCGGTGGGTGCGGCGGCGGGAGGGGCGCGGGGGGTGCGCGGGCGGGCGAGGGGCGCCGACAGGGCGCGGGGGGCGCGGGCCTCCTCACACGCCGCCGCTGCGCCCCCAGGTCTGGGAGGAGGCCGGCGCCGGTCCGCGAGCCGCAGCCGGGCGCGGGAGCCGGGCGAGGGCGGCGGCCCTGCCGCAAAGTGCGGGTGTCGGCGCAGCTCCCCGCGGCAGGGTCTGCGCCGCCGCGCCCCGCGCCCCTCGCGTCCCCCGCGCCCCCCGCGCCCCCAGCGCCCCGCGCCCCTGGAGCCCCCCGCGCCCCGCGCGCGCCCCGCGCCCCTCGCGCCCCTCGCGCCCGCGCGCCCCCAGCGCCCCGCGACCCTGGAGCCCCCCGCTCCCCGCGCGCCCCGCGACCCTCGAGCCCCCGCGCCCCCCGCGCCCGCGCCCGCCGCAGCTGCAGACGCGGCCGCCAGCGGCCGAGGACACCCGCCCGCGCCGGCCCGCGGCTCCCCCGGGCGAGCAGGGCCCCGGCGCCGCGGGCCGGGCCGGGACCGCAGACCCCGGAGCCAAAGCTGGGCGGAGCCGCGGGCGCAGCCCCCGCGGCAGGTGCAGCCCCGCGCGCCCGCCCCGCCCGCCCGCCCGCGCGCGCCCCTCACCTGCGCTCATGGCGGCGGCGCCGCGGCCGGGCTCCGTCTGCGCAGCCCGCGCTCCTGCCCGCGCGGGCCGCGATCCCCGCCCGCCCGCCCGCCCGCGGGTCACGGCGCCGCCCGCAGCGCCCGCAGCGCCCGGCCCGCCGGCCCCGCCCCGCCCCCGCCCCGCCCCGCCCCCGCCCCGCCCCCGCCGCCGCGGGCGGGCGCGCCTGGGAAGTGTAGGCGCCGCGCCCCCGCCGCGCCGCCTTCGCGCCGCGGCCTCCCGACGGCCGGACTACAAGTCCCGGCAGGCTGCGCGGCTCGCGCAGGCGCAGGCGGGCGCGCCGCTGCGGCCCCCCGCCGCCGCTCTAGGTCCCCGCGGAGCTGTCACCGCGGCGCCCCGGGAGGCGGGGAGCGGGAGGCCGGGAGGGCGGGCTGGGGTGCGCGCCCGTGGCGCCGTGAGCGGCCAGGGGCCTCGAAGACCTGGGCTCCCCCCCCCCGGGTCGGCGGGAGGCTGCGGCGTGGGGTGTGTCGGCGCGCGCGGGGCTGCCCCTCCCCGCGGCCGGGGACCCGCACTGGGCTCGGGCGCGCGCTCCGGGCTCGGGCGCGCCCCGCCGGCTGGCGCCTGGGTCTGGCTCCGCCGCGCCAGGGAGGGGGCGCGTCCGCCCAGCGGTCGGGGCCCACCCCCGCCCCGTGGGGGTGCCCTCTGTGACGTCAGGTGCCCGCCCCAGGCCGCGGGTCCCGGCAGGAGAGGGAAGGCCCCGTGGGAGCCCGGGGCGCACCGGGTCCTGGCACTAACCAGGGGCCGGCGCCGGGTGCGGAGGCTGGGCCGGGCCGCCACTGCGGGCGGGAGGGGCAGGACGGCCGGCGGCGGCCAGGGCTCTGCAGATGCGGCCAGCGAGGGCGGGGGTCAGCCGGAGCGCGCCCCAGGGGCTCCTGGCCGGGCTCATGTCCTGCCCTGGCCCTCAGCAATGTCCCTCTGTCCTGAAGAGGGGCCAGGGCGCCAGGCGGAGGACATGGCTCCCAAGGACAGCCAAAGTCCCGGAGAGCGGGCTGCGGGCAAGGCCAGCGCCACCTGCCCACACAGCCCAGGGACCCGGGAACCAAGGTGGCGTCCGCAGCCGCCCCCCACTGCTCACTAGGCAGAGGCGGCGTGGTGGGGTGGAAGGCCCTGGGAAGGACCCGAGTCCTGTCCCTCCCGCTCCCCTCAGGGCCAGCCTCGAGCTGTCCCTCCCCTCTGGGCATCAGAGCCCCATCTGGGAAGTGGCCGTGTGCAGCGCCCGCCCTTAGCTCCAAGCTGTGCAGGGGCCGCTAGCTCTGGCGAGGGCAGATGTGGGGTCTGAGGGCCCCAGGGCCCCCGCCCTCTGGCTGGCGCTGGGTGGGCGCCGCGCGTGCTGGTGTGCTGCTGCTGTGGCTCCCGGTGCCTTGCACAGGCCTGGCCCAGACTGGCCCCACAGACACCTGTCGATGGAAGGAGAAAAGGTAGAGGGAGGCGCCGGTGGGAGCCCCTTCCCCAGGGGCTCAGCCTCTGGGAGAAGCTCTGTCGGGCTCCCCACTGTCCTGTGTCCTGCCTGGAAGAGGCGTCAGCAGCCTGCTGTCCCAGTGGGCCAACGCCTAGCCGGGCATGTGGTCTCCTCCCTGGTTCCTGGTGAGGCTGTCACCATCTCGCAGCCAAGGGACAAACCAAGCTCCCAAGTCCTCTGGAGTCAGGGAGACACAGCCCTTCTCAGCCTGCAGCGCCTCAGGGTCAGGGTCCCAGCGTTCTGCAGGAGGACAGGACCGAGACCCAGAGAGGCGCTGCCCAGTCACCCAGAGAGTCAGTGGCAAGCTTGGGGCTGACCGGCCAGCCCTCACAGGGAGGGCCCCAGCGAGGTGAGGGCTCCGTGGACGGGCCTGCAGAGCCCCCGCATCGCAGCCCGAGGCTGGGCGATGGGGCCGACGGAGCCAGACCGCGGGTCTTACATGCCTGGTGCAGGTGCGACCCCCGCCGCTCGCGACCTCTGTGCCTGTTTCCCTCACACCGCCTGGGTGAATGAGTGATTTCAGTGGAGCACTTCAAAGTGCCGCAGAAAGTCACAGCTCGTGAATGAGAGTTATTATTCTAATTGCTATTATTGAAACAGACCTGGGAGATGTCATCACCTGTCTTTAAAGACTTTCTTTCCTCCTGGGTATTTCACCAGCCCCCCCACCCGCCACCCGCCCACACAGGCACCCATCTGCCCACCCACCCACCCACCCACCCACCCACCCTCCACCATGTGTTGACCCCAGTGTACTGGGCACCGTTTGTGAAGAAAACAAACAAGAATTTGTCCCACAAATCACATGATTCATTGTAGCAAACGCTGCCACCTGCTCCCTGCGCGGCCGGGGAGAGTCTCACTCTCACACAAGGAGGCCCAGCAGGGTCCGTAATGGCTACAGGGTCCTGCGAGGCTTCATAGCGGTGCGGGCCCCTAGGGGTGCAAGCACAGTGCCCGTCGCTCGTGTCCTGCAAACCGCTTCCCCACTTGGGGTGTCGGGCCTGAAGTTGCCAGCCGCCCTTGGGGGCCCAGGGGGCTCTGGGGATGTGAACAAGGACGTGGCGCCCAGCCGGTGCCTGCTGTGGGGTCTGGGTCAGGCAGGCTCTGGGGGCCGGGCAGGGAGGGCCAGGGAGGACACGGGCCAGTGGCCCCAGGGGCTGCTTCAATGGCGCAGAGTGGCCTGGACAGAGGAGCGCGGACTGAGGAGGACCCCAGGCCCCAGTGAGGCCACAGCCAGTGGCAGGCTGCCGTGTCCTGGGACTGCCCCATGCTGGGAAGCCTCACCACCCCGCCCTCCTCCACCCCGCAGCCCTGACGTAGGTGGGGAACCCATGCATTGGCTTACCAAGTGCAAACCACCCCAAGTGGAGGGGCTGGGTGCGCCGGCCCTGCTAAGGGAGAGCCCACCCGCAGTGTAGCTGTAGCACCCCTCCTGGGCTCCCCTGTCTCCCAGGGACAAGGGGGTGAAGTGACGAGGCTGAGCCTGGCCGAGGATGCCGCCACTGCCAAACCATCCTTGGGAACCCCCCCATAGCTCAGGCGCACCTTCTGGGCTTCCGTCCAGCCCCTTGAGAAGTCTAAGCCAGGGGTCACCTCTGCTCTCTGAGGCCAGTGAGTAACTGACTCACCACTGCAATGTCACCACTGTCTCCTGCCAGCTCCGTTACCCGATGCCAGGTGTCCCGGGCGGGGGGGAGTCTCAGCACAGAGGGTCAGCACGTCCCCTGCCACTCCTCGACGCCCCACCCAGCATGTCAAGAGGAAGGAGGTCAGCCCTAAGCCGCTCCCCTGACCTCACCGGGTCTGCTGGCCCCCACAGACTGCCTCATGGAGAGAGCACGTGTGCTGGGCTCCCTGGGGCCTGAGCCAGAACAGGGGCGCCCTGAAAACCCAGCAGCGCACGCGACCCAGGAGCCGCCGGTTTCGAGGCCGGAGCCACAGGCCCCTCTGCCGTCCTCACCTCTGCGTACGGCCTGGGAGTTGACGGCTTCACAGCCAAGTGGAGAAACCACGGAAATGTGATTTCGCTGTGGGAGCTCTCCGAGCACTGAATAATTTAAAGCCGTGCCATGTGAGACCAGGAGATGATAGCCCGGCTCACCGCTGGGCCAAGCCCATCGTCCACCGGCCGTGGGGGCCCAGCCCTCGAGCAGGCGTGCGCCCTGTGGACTCTGCCGGCTCCCTGGGTCAGCTCCACATCCGGCGCCCAGTGGCCTCGTGAGGTCTGCAGGCTCCAACCTGCGGCCCAGAGCAGCCAGGCCAGACGGCCGTCACAGCGCCGGGGCGGGCGGAGGGGCCTGGGCGGGAGAGGGCCCCGGGCTGGGGGCCCCTGCAGTTAAGGGGCCAGCTGGGAGGGCCTCAGCAGCCCCGGCACGGCTGGATTCTGGCTCTCGCTGAGCACAGACGCGGGGGCGAATGGCCCGACCCGCAGGGGCAGCCAGAGGGGCCAGTCTCCTGGGCTGACAGCAACAGGAGTCCCCCCACAGTGCTGGGGGCCAAGGCTAAGATTCAGGAGCCGGCAGAGCCCCCAAGAGCTCCAGGGAGGCTCCCCCTCTTGCCTTTCTCTTGGTTGTTGGGGCACTGGTGACGCTGGGTGGCGGCAGCTCGCAGCTGCTCTGCCCTGTCGCGGCCTCCGTGGTGACCGGACCAGAGGAGGACACTGACCCCGCATGCAGCCGTCCCCAGCAGGGCGAGTCTGCGGAGACCCTATTTCCAAGTAGGGTCACGTTCCTGCGTCCCAGAGACTAGATTTGAGGTCTCTCTTGGGGGATAAAACAAAACCCGGTACCCCCACTTCCCCCTCCCCCCCACCCCAGGCCTGAGAGCCTCAGGGCGAAGGGTCCCAGCTGGAGAAAAGGAAAGTGAGGCCAGGGGTATAAGGCCACGCGGGCAGCCGGGTCGCCACTGTCCCCACGGGGCCCCAGGGCTCGTGCCCCTCGCCCCCTGGCTGTCAGGGACAACAGGTGCGGCCAGCGGGGCTCGCCTGGGGTGCAGAAGGGCCTGGTGAAAGCCTCACAGCAGCTCCCTGCTCGGGCCCTGGCGCATGGTGGGTGCTGAGAACGTCTCCTGAAAGGAACGTAGCTGTATCCTTGGAGGGTCATGTTTTTTGACACAAGAATAATATAATTTCACTGCAAAAGTCTAACCCCTCCCTGTTTCTCAGGCGCCGCCGGAGTCCCGGGTCCCGCACGCCTCCGCCCCCTGGTGGCGGGCCCTGCCAAGTGCCTCCCAGAGGGCCGTGTCCCTGGACCCACAACTGCCCCGGCCCAGGGGCGGCAGAGACTTTGGTCTCTGCAAAGGGCACTGGACACCCGGCCTCGGCCAGCACAAAGGGAGAGGAAGGGGCAGTTTCACGCACCACCCCTCTGGGACGCCGGGTCTCGGGTCGGAGCCGGTGACCACGTGCCGTCCCTCCTCGTCGGGCTCAGGTATGGGGGCGGGAGCCAGTCAGGACGGGGGCTCCTCAGCCTCTGTCTCCCCCCTGGGTGTTTGCTTAACTCCCCCTTCTCTCACCCTCTGCTTTCGCGCAGCTCCCCAGCTTTTGCCCAGAGGCCACCATCCTGCCCCCGTGAGGTCGCCCTCCCAGGAGCCGGCCCCGGTCAGAAGGCCGGGGTGGGTGTGGGAGGAGCACAAACCCCCACACAGTGATCCCCTTCGCCAACCAGCGCCCGCACCCCCGACACAGGGACCTCCGCCCGGGGCACGTAGCCCAGCGGGCTGCCAGTGCCGGCGGCCGAGAGGCCAGAGGCGGCTTCTCACTGCTCGGGGCCTCCGGGGGTTGCGGTGGGAGAGGCTCCCCAGTGACAGCTGTTGCAGTTCCACCCACCCACCCCCGCCCCCGCCAACACTCATTCCACCCCGGGGCTGGAACGCCCAGGACCTCGCTGGACACGGGGCCAGGGCCGCGTCTCCAGGGGGACGGCACCCGCAGCTGTTGGCCTCGACTCTGGAATGCGGTGACCAGCCTGGAGGGGAGGCCTTTCCGGGCCTTGGCGTCCTGCTCGGGCTCGCAGGATTCACCCTGCTCCAGGCCGTCCAGGCGGTGGCACACAGTCCCGCCTCCTCCCCAGAGGGCCCAGCTGCTGCCGGGGGCGAGGCAGGGACACCGGACAGGGAGACAGATATGGGGGAGATGGGTGCAGGGCCCTGCTGGGGGTTTCCCGGGCACATCAGTTTGCCTAGGCAGCCTGCCATGGGGCAGGTGCCGGCTCCGGGCCCAAGGCCAGCGGGGGCACTGCCTGCGGGGCCCAGACGACCACTTCTGGGCAGCCAGGCCCACCCCCGGTGCGCCTCAGTTTCCCTCTCCGTGCAGAGCCACCCAGCTGGCCCCCAGGCCGCACCCCAACGCTCAGCCCCAGGGAGGCGCGGCTCCCACGGCCACTGCCCTCTAGCGGGAGGCCGGAGACGACCCAAGCCCGACCCACCCGGCTCTGGACCCGTTAAGGCCTTGGGTGAGCCCCGGCCTGGAGCTGGGGCGGCCCCCGCCCACCGTGCGCCTCCTGGTAATCAGAGGGGGTTATTTTTGCGATCCGGAAAATCACACTAATGACCGGTGTGATCATCAAAGCCAGGCGAGCTGGGACAAAGGTGTTTCTCCCGGGCATTTTGGGCCCAAGACAGGGCACGCAGGGTGCAAGCCCCTGTCGCAGGGCCCTGAAACACCTCCCGCCTGCGATGGTTCTGTCGTCCCTGGGTCACGGCGGGTCCCCCGGCATTCGGCAGCTCCCAGGCTCCCAGACGCTGGCGGTGGCCCAGGTGGGGCGCCAGGTGGGATTCCTGTCTCTGCCGCCAGGTATGTCGGGGCCTTGGTCATGGAAGTGGGGAGAGCTTGACACACCTGGCAGGGGGCCCTGAAGTCACAGGGCACAGAGAGACCCAGGGGTGCCCGGCCCCCACAGGCTCTCCACCGGGGGCAGGCTGCCCAGGACCTCAGCCCTTGAAGCCCCAGGCCTGGCCTCACTGGCCAGTGACCACACGCTCCCTGGGCAAGGGGGTGGCTCCTGCGGGCCAGCTAAGCCCTGGCCCAGGCTGCAGCAGAGAGCTGGGCCAAGGGGTTCGGAGGCTGGCAGGGTCCTAGAGACCAGATCGCAGGGCTCGGCTGCTGGCCCCCAAGAGGCCAGGACAGTGAGTGTCGAAGGCCAGCCATGCCCCCAGAGCCCAGCCTGGAGCTGGGTTGGACACGTACACACACGTGCAGGGGCAGCAGCGGGTCCGCAGGAGGCAGCGCGTGGGGCCCCACGGGCAGCGTTCTGGACGTCACCCTGCTCTCGCACTGGGAGCGAAGGACGCAACCGATGCCGTGTCCTCACTTGCTCGCTCACTCGCAGGGCTCTGCCAACGGAGAGGCTGCCCCCGCCCAGCCGGAGGCCAGCTCATGCTGGGGGGCTGAGGGCTCCCCCTGGCCCACGGGACTGAGGCCACAATCACCAGGGTCCTGACCGACCGCGTGAGGGGCAGGTGCGGGGCAGGTGCCCTGCCTGGATGTCCACTTCCTGGCGTTCGTCCCCCGCAAGCACCGAGGACGCTGGCCGGCGTCCACTGTTCTCCCGTCTCAGGGACAGGGCGCGGGAGCCCAGAGCTCGCCTCAGTCACACAGCTGGGCCGGAGGCAGTGGCCGGTCTGGTGGCTCTTCAACGGACAGGGCAGGGCCCTCTGCAGCCCCACCGAAGGCAGGAGCCTGTGCGGGACGCGGTGCTGGGACCGGCTGAAGGCAAGGTCCGCTCGGGACCTGGTCCAAAATGCAGATCTCTGGGCCTTGCCCGGGAGAGCTGGACGCAGTGGGGACCCCAGTGACTCGGCCTGAGTGAGACTGGGAACCAGTTCCCCTGGACGCCACCGGGGACACCACCCCCTCCAGCGGCCGACCCCAGTCACTCGGTGCTGCCCCCCGGGCTCCCAGCCAGCTGGCCTCGAGGTCTGGCCACGGACACCGGGCCCAGCTGTGGGGCGGCCTGAAGCCCCTGCCCGCCTGGCAGGACCTGGAGCCGGGCTCTCGAGCCTGCGGCGCAGCTGGCCCGGCCCTGCCTGGGAATGCGCCGGGACTGCTGACACTTCCCTGGCTGATAAGGAGGAGGAAGGTCAGCAGGAGACTCGGCCCCTTCCCACGGGGCGGGCAGCCGGCTCAGCCAATGACCCGGGCGGCTGCTCAGGCCACCTGATCGGCCCGGGGCTGGGCTGCCTGGAAACGTGCGCCTTCCGGCCCCAGCTGGCCTGGGCGGGACAGTCCTGGGGGCCAGGAGGCCTGGACTGCGGCCCCCGCCCCTCCGGGCTGCGCTGCCCCACAGAGCACGCTCCAGTCCCCTGGGCAGGCCTGCCCGAGAGGAGCTGCCCCCACGCCGCCGCCAGCCCCACTCAGGCCACCTGCCAGCACAGGTAGGGCCAGGGAGGGCGTGGGTGAGTGCGCCCTGAACCAGCCTGCCAGGAGCCGCGGGTGGACGCTGCTGCAGGGGGAGGTCCAGGCCTGGGCCCGCTCTGAGGAGGCTGGTTGCTGGGGCGGGGTGGAGGCTGGAGGCGGCAGGTGAGGCGGGAGCTGCCGCCCGTTCCCTCAACCCCAGGCCGGTGGCTGTTCAGGGCTCGATCCTGACTGGGCCCTTCAGGCCGGGAGCTGCCCCCAAGGTGGAGGCTGGTGGGGGAGGATGGGCCGGCAGGCAGTGCTCCGGCTCTGCAGGGGCAGAGGCCGCGCACTGGGGCTGGCTGTGGCCGGCAGAGGCTGGGCCCTGGCCTGGAGAGGCGAGGGCGAGGCCGTGCCCGTGGCTGGAACCCTCACCTCGGACTTTGCACAGGGGCTAGGGCGGGAGGGCTCTGTGGCCCCCTCAGCCACATAAGCAGCCCCAACCCTCCCGGGCCCAAGACAACTGACCAGGGCCAGGCAGGTCCGCTCAGGGGTCCCCCAGGTGAACTGTGCATCCAGAGCACGCCCCGAGGCTGGAGTCCGCACCGGCGGGTCATGGCTGGAGCTGGGGTGCTTTTCCCGCCATCCACCCCAGTTTCCCCAGTGCTGTGGGCCCCGTGGGGCCGGTGGGGCGCTGCCCCAGCTCTCCGTGAGCTCAGGTCCTCCTCGTCTTGGGGGACACCCGGAGGCCCCTGGGCTGGCCCAGGACACACTGCGGCGTGAGCCACTCCGGTCACCGGCTCCAGGGCCGGCCCGACCCCCGGCAGGCTGTCCTCCCTCCTCTGGGCCTTGACGTCCCTCCACACCCGCAGTGTGTAGAGCTGCCCGCGGCCCGGGTGTCCATGCTCCTCTGGCCCCCGTCAGCGTGGGGTTCCTGCTGCCGCCGGTGCCTCCTGATGTTCCCTGGGGGTGCCGGCTCATGGACTCGCAGGAGGAGGGCCCCAGGGACATCCTGTCCAGGGCCAGCAGTGTGACCCATCACTGGACCCCAATCTCCTGGCAGCTGGGGTGCCTGTTGGGCTCCCGCTGGAAGCCCTTGTCCCCCCCTGGCCACACCTGGAGGGGAAGAGGGCCCAGGCCTACTGCCTCCAGAGGGCGGTGTGTCCAGGGGGATGCCCAGGACTTCTGCTAGGACAGTGTCCGTTCATGTGCTGTCCCAGGCTTTATCTCTGTCAGTGTGGACGTCTTTTTTATACTTCGGGTTTTAAAGAATCTACTACTTTTATTTTTTTTTTCTCAAATGGCTCCAACTTCGGCCATTGAAAGCTCTCTCAGCTTCTGTGCCCACGACACGGGCCCTTCCTGGTGGGACGGGCTGTCCGTCCTCCATCTGTCCATAGCACGGACAGATGTGCTACTTTCTGGCACTACAAGAGGCTCCATGCAGGGTTTATATTTCACGCTCCGTGGCCCAGTTCAGAGTGCCTCCTCCAGGCAGCCCTCCTGGCTGTCTCCAGGTGGACGAGGGGCCATTTGCTTGGCCTCTGTCATAGTTTCATGGTCAGTTTTCTTGGCTGTGTTGCCACTAAGCAAAGAACCCTAGAGCCACCTGAGTCGCTCACTGCTCCCCACGCCCAGCACGAGGGCTGGCAAGTTTGGGGCTGGGCACTGCTGCTAGCCCCTGGCCCTCCCCCATAGAGTGGTGATGGTGTCCTCTGTGGGGCCCTCTGCACGCTGCTGGGTACTGGACCTGAGCAGATAACCGAGGCTGGAGCCTGACCTGTACCTTAGCCCATGTCCCTGGGGTCAGCCCGGGGACGATGCCAGGGCAGGGAGGTACATGCCCATCCCAGAGTGGATGGGGCGGACCAGGGCTCCCTTGGGCCTGCATCAAAGCAGCAGGTGCCGCGGCCACATCCCTGGAAATTGGCTGTGAACCGGCGCAGCTGGGAGGCCGGCCTGTGAGCAGGCGCTGGGGATGGTGGCCGCCAAGGGTGGGAGTTAAGGGTGGGAATTGCCAGGCCCCTGAGATGGAGCAGCCACCCCAACAGTGGCCTGGGGATTTTGAGGTCATCAAGGGCACCTGAGCTCCCCTCACGGGTGCCCCACCCCCTGCAGGGACCCAGCCCAGCCTCCAGGGAGATGGGCCCGGCTGGGCAGACCTTCCTGCCCCAGGGGCTTCTGGAACACATGTGCTGGGCGGGCGAAAACCAAAGCCAAGTTCAAGTTCCATCCCTTGCTGACCGGGCTCTGCAGAATGCCCGGAATCCAGCGGGGTCCCACCTTCTGGTTTAGGAATGTCGGAACTCCGGGAGGGAGCATGCACTGAGGTTCCCCTAAAAGCCTAGGTCCCAGGGAAGACCATAGCCATAAAGCACATGCTGTGTACCCCACTCTGGCCCCTCACCTGCTGTCGCCTCTGCTCGCCCATCCTGGTCACCCCACGACTGGGACCAACTCTGGCCTTGCACCCCAGGTGGGCCTTCTGACCTGCTCCCTGCATGGGCGTTATTTGAGGTGTTGAAGACCCCCCTCTTCCCAGTGCTGCGCCCACGGGGAGGACACTTCCTGGAGGAGCGTGGGAACAGACACGCCAGGCACTGCCCCTGGCCCAGCCAAGAGGCGGGCGGGGCTGCCGAGTCAGCGACTCCTGGGCTTGGAGCGCCCCTGTTTGGGGGGATGGGGGGGGGGAGCGTCCTCGAAGACCCAGGCAGGGAACTGCTGACGCTTCCTAGCCTGTGACCTGGCAGGCGCCATCAGTCCTCTGGGCGGCCTCTGTGGCCCCGACATCCTGGTTTGCAGAGGACGGCTCCTGACATCCTGGCCCCGAGCGGCGCTCACCTCCCAGGCCCGGTTCAGGCGCCCAGGCCAGAAATAACAAGCGGCCGAGCCTGGCTCACCCTCCCCGCGAGGCCAGCAGATCCGGGCACGTCTGTCCTCCTGCGGGGCGCAGGGACTCGGCCACCCTGCGGGCTGCTCGCGGGCGCTGGGCACTTGCTGCGGGGAGGCGTGGAGGTGGCTGTCCTGGTTTTCCCGGGAGACACCTGACTTGGGGCCACAGCTGCACTTTATAGATCAGGGGAGACAGCCGTCTCCCCTGTGGTGCCCGGGCTAGGGACAGGACCTGGACACTTCTCGAGCCTCGGTTTCCCCACCTGGAAGCCAAGGGCTGTGCTGGGCTGCCTCACCGTCCCGTGCCCTGGCTGTGTTTGGCACGAGTCACCTTGGCCCTCAGCGGGAGGCAGGACTGGGCTCCACTGCTCAGGGCCTGAGCCTGTGTCCAGCCCACTGCCCGCTGGTCGAGCCTGCCCCTTCCCGCCCTGGAGTTCCCCACCCTACTCCCTGCTGGGCGGAGCCCTTACCCCGAGCCCCTGTACCCTGCCGGCAAGCAGGCACCCTTCTTGCTCTGGGGTCCACCTGAGATGCACCCACAATCCCCCACAGCACCCCACTCTCTAGAGCCCTGGCAGGAACCCACAACCCAGGGCCAACCCCAGCCCCCCCGTTTTGCAGATCAGGTGTCATGGGCACACGGTCGGCACCCCTCACCCGGGCCCTCCTCGTCTGCTTTCTCTCGGGCAGCACGGAGACCGGCCGATGGCGCCCGAGCCAGGCCTGTCCAGTCCCGCCTTCCCAGAAGGCCCTTGCCCTGCTCTGGAATTTCCTGCATGGCCCGGGCCCTGCTGGGGGAGCAGCCACCGCCGGGGGCTGGGGTGGTGCTGGCCCCAGGGCCGGGGCCTCCACATTCCTGAGAGTCACTGTTCCCGGCCTGTCGGAGATTAACCCTCTGGGCGAGAGTGACCGCTTGGGCCGACTTTGTCCCTGGTGGCCTGGAAATGGTCCTGCGAGGGGCGGGCTGTTCCCTGAGCGGACTCTGTGCCGGAGACCTTCACACCCTGCCTCCGGCTGGCTTCTCTCCCTCCAAGCTTCCACCAGGAGCTCCAGCTCCACGCAGCCTTGCCGGAGTTCACCCTTGGCCCCCCAGGCCTCCCTGCCTGCGCGTGGGTTGGGCAGGACGAGCCTGCTCTGGGGCCGCGCTCTCACCCACTGGGGTGGATGGGGGCCCTAGGTCCTCCCCGCGAGCGCAGGGGGGCGCTGTCTGGGGCTCCGGGGGGCAAGCGACTCTGGCCCTGAGCCGCTGTTGGATACCGTCGCTCTCTGCTCCAAAGCAGGGATGACCCCCGTGACCGCCAAATGAGAAATCCCCCGAGCTTCTGACCGCCCGCTGGCCAGCGAGGTGGACCCCGGCCCCATAAGGGTGGGGACCCCTCGGGCACGGAGGTGGGGTTGGAGGCGGCCCTGGGATGCTGCAGGGCTCCAGGTCTGCGCCGTTCACTGGGCTCCGCGGCCCTGTGCTCTGCCCGCCACACGGAGGCCTTGTGCCTGGGCCTTCGGTGTTGCTGAAAACGTGTCCTGGCACCTCCCCTGCCCAGACTCCTGCGTGGCCAAAATGCAGGACGAGAAGCTGCCCTGACCCCGACGCACTCTGACGGGGACCCCCTCGGGGGCCGGTCGCTGGCAACCCAGCACTTGCTGCTCCCTGGGCAGCTTGACAGGACACGCGGGGGACGGGACGAGGACGGCTCTCGACCAAGTGACAACTGGAAACCGCTGCAACCGGGTCAGGCATCTGAGAGGTTGGCCGCAGGCCCCGGCAGCCTCAGGCCAGTGCCACCTTCAAAAGGGGAGCCAAGGCCCAGGCGGCGGCTCTCCCCAAGAGCCCCAGCAGGGCTGGGGTGGGGGGAGCCCGCCTCTCCCGGGCAGTCTGTGTGGGCCTCCAAGAGAGACCCCACTGGAGAACCCCCCAGTCTGAAAGGTTGTCGGGAGCCCTGAGCGGAGTTGGGGCCTCTGGAGTTGGGATGCATGCATAGGGTCAGGGCATATTCTGTGGTGTTGGGGTGCCCTGAGGGGGTCCTGTGAATGGGGGTGTACCACGCAGCATCCAGGAGCACTGTGCACAGCTGGGGAGGCTCCTGGAAGCCCCCTCTGGCCGTGGGCCAAGAGCACAGCTGCAGAGACAAACAGGATGCAGGTCGCGGCTGCGGGACAATGGCCAGGAGAGGAAACGTGTCCGGGCCCTTTCATGGACTCGGAGCCCGCCGGGGGCCCCGTCCAGCATGTGCAGACGTCAGAGGCGCAGAAACCAGGCTGCTCCACCACCCCCACCGTGGGTCTGGAGCATGGCCTGGAGTTCAGGGCCTCCCCGCAGACTGGAGGCCCCGCACCCGTCAGTGAGGGTCCCGGCACACCCGCCGGCTCTCGCGGTGGCTGCGGGACCTCCCCGAGCGTGGCCGGGCAGCCAGTTGAGTGGGCTGTGGGCAGGTGGCGGGGCCGGGGCTGGACAGTCCAGTGCCCGCCTCTGGCCACGCGGCCCCTCCCCCTTGCTGCTGAGCTCTGCCCCCGCACTGGGCAGGTGGAGGCCGAGGGGCAGACAGGGCAGTGGTGTGACCAGATGGACCAGGGGGTCACCCTCAGTGGAGAAGGGGGTTGAAATGTGGGGGGGCGGGGGGCAAGGACCAGGAGGGCGATGATGCCTGTGACGCCGCAGCGGGACTGGCCCTGGGCCGGGGCCCCTCGGCGGCGGCAGGCTCCCCGGGGGCGGGCTGGCACCCCCGCCCTCCAGGGTGACGAGACGGAGGTGGGCGCCCTGTCCGGCCGGGCCGCGTCCGGTGCCGCACGTGGGCCCCATGCCCTGTGAGCACGCACGCGTGCGCTGGCCTGGTGTGCACACATGCGTGCAGCCAGTGGAAGAGGAACAGAGAGGGAGCCAGGCTGCAGGCGGGGCGGCTGGTGGGCTTCCCCAATCCGGCCTGAGGCGGAGCCGGTGTCCTCGGCCTCCACCCGGCCCGGGGCTGGGCGGGGCAGCAGGCCAGGCCAGCGGACCAGGAAGGAGCTCATGACCCACGGCCCTCGGCCTGGAGTAGGCGCAGCCGCCGCCAGCCTCTCCCGCCGGCCCCCTGCGCGGGCAGGAAGTGGGGCAGGAAGCAAGGGCGGCGCAGCCAGCAGGGCTGGAGGGCGATGCGGAGGCAGCCGGGCGGGAGTGGAGCGGCCACCTGGCGCCGCCTCAGGTCTGGGGCCTGAAAGCGGCTGCGGAGGAGCCGGGCACAGGTAAGGGAGCTCTGAGACAGGTGGAGGCGCTGGACAGGGCAGGGCGCTGGACAGGGCTGGGCAGAGGGTTGCTGGAGAGTGGGGGCGCTGGAACCGGCAGGGGCATCGGATGGTGGAAGCACTAGGGTAGGCGGGAGAACTGAGCAGAGCGGGTGCTGGACAGAGTGGGGCTCTGGACAGCGGGGTGCTGGGCCAGGTGGGGCCTGGCGGGGGCTTGCAGAGCGGGTCTGGCCACAAGTAGATCCAAGGGTGGGTGTGGCCACAGGCAGATGTAAGATGGTGCCTCACCTTCCCCTACCTTGAAGGCATCTCTGACATTCGGGGTGGGGTCAGTCAGCTGGGAGGACAGAACCAAGGTCCGGACAGTTCTGGAAATCTGAGGGTGTGGCCAATGGCTGAGCCGGGACAGTTCTGGCATGAATGGCGTGATCCACGGGTGGTCCGTGGGACTTGCTGCTGCTGGGACCTCACTGGCCCTCAGCTCCCACGGGCACTCAGCGTGTCTGGGGGTCTGGACGAGCCACAGAAGCGTAGCCAGCCATTCAGGGCGCCAAGCCCTGGTCTCAGTGGGACCCTCCCTGGTTAGTGCCACATGGGCGGACAGCACGTGTGCCCAGCCCAGGGGCGCCACAGGGGGACGCAGCCCCCTGGGTCACTGCTCTTTTCCATCAGGGCCCTGCCTTGACCAGGGGCATCACCAGAGGCTCTGGGGCACGTGGATGCATGTCCTGCCCCGGGGTGCATCAGGGACCTGCAGCAACCCTTGGCCTTCATGTACAGACCCTTCCCCTGGAAGGGCATCCCCTCAGCGCCCAACCATGGCACCCCAGGAGCTGCTGCCCCAGCCTGGCCTGAACTGGGCCAGCTCCAGATCTCAGTGGATGCAGGAGCCCAGCGTGGTCCTGTGGACACCCCTGAGACCCTGTCTCGGCCTCCAGGGACCCCCAGGATCCCCAGGAGCCCAGCTTGTCTGCGGGAGTTCCCAGCTGGGCAGGAGGTAAGCCTCATGGGAGTGTGGGGGAGCCCGTGGGGGAGGGGTCCTGCTGGCCAGGCTGGGAGGCGGGCAGGGCTGGGTGGGGTGGGGAGGGTCCTTGGGCCCCTGGGCCCCCAGGTGGCCCTTCTTCGATAGACCTCATCCTCCAGGCCGCGAGGAGGGTGGGCAGGCTGGCCCCCCACTCCTGGTGGGAGGGCTGCTGTGAGGTGGGTTCCCCCTAGTCACTGGCAACGAAGACGCTCCTGTAGGCTGTCGTGCCAGAGCCCCCGGCCCGCAAGCATGTGATTCTCCTCATTAAAATGCCCCCTTCAGCAGAGAAGGTCAGATGGGGGTCTGGGGGGGCAAGTTTCCTGTGGTCACTCGCCGTGGAGAAGCAACCCCAGGGGACCTGTTTCTCCCAGTTTGGAGGTCAGGGGAGGCCTCTCCCTGCCTCTTCCAGACTCTGGGGCCCCCGGGGTCCTGGGGTGTAGCTGACGCCCCCTCTCTCTCCTCCACGTGGCACTCTGGGGTTGTGTCTTGGGCTTGGGCCCCAAGTCCAGAGGGACCTCATCCTAACTCATCTGCAGAGGCCCCACCCCCAAAGACGGTCACATCCTGAGGTTGGGATGACATGGATTGGGGGGACCCCAGTGCAACGGGCCACCAGATAGCCCCCCGCTTCTTGGTGACATGGAAGCTGCATGGCCCCCAAAGTGCAGGAGACCCCAGCGAGGCCCAGCTGGGCCCCCCGCCCCGGCAGGGCAGGACTGCGGCTCTCGCTCCCTGCTGAGACCCCACGCTTCACCAGTGCTGAGGGGGGCGGCAGGAGTCTGCACCCCACTGGCCGGTCCCTGGGAACCGGCCTCTGCCCGAGCTGACACCCGCGGGAACCAGGCTGGCCCTGCACGGGCCCCGTCCGCAGAACAGGCTGCACCCCAGGCCCTGGCTGGGGATGTGTGGGAACGTGGGTGCCGTGTGTGGGGGAAGGCAGGGGCGCGGGGCTCCAGCCCTGCCGGGGCGAGTGTTCCTCCTCATTCTCAGCGAGCAAACCGCATGACGGGGTCGCCCCGTCCGTGGGCCCAGGGCTCGGGGCTCCGGCAAAGTCCCTCCCCGCGTGCGGTGCAGGCCAGGGCGAGCCCGCTGCCGGCCGCCAGGGCCCAGGTGGGCAGGAGGGAGGTGAAGAAAGGCAGGGCTCCCTGGGGGCGCAGGACACCCCGGGGTGCAGCTCGGGAGGCCGGTGGCCACTTACCCTGGGTGAGGCCATTTTAAGGACCAGCAGGGAACCCCCTGCACCCCCAGCCCCATCCTCAAGCCCTGGCCGTGACTGGGAGCCCCAGGCCAGCGGCGATCATGGTGATCACGGGCAGCCCCAGCCCCCACTGAGCCCCGAGGCTCCCCACCCTCCCTGGGGGCGCGTCCCTGGGCCTGGGCAAGGGTGTTGCAGGCCCTGGCAGGCCCGGATGCAGGCGCTGACAGCCTCTCGCGGGGCGGCAGTGAGAGGAGCACCCCCTGGCACTGGGACCCCAGGGACGCGGCCCCTGCAGGGTGGGGAGCAAGGACAGGGCAGGGCAGCCAAACCCCCTAAACAGGAGCCTCGTGGGGCACGGACCCACCCCAGGCTCTGTGCGTGGGGATCAGACAGGGGCACCGGCCTGACGCCCCGAGCTGCCGGGTCCGGCCCCTGCCAGGTGGCGGCACGGACAGCCCCACCGGAGACTCGGGCTTATGCCGGGTGATGACACCGCACGCGGAGGCTGGGGGCTCGCACGGGCAGGGCACGGCCGGCCCAGCGCTGCCCACCCACGGCCCCGGGTGGAGGCGGCCCAGGGGCACCCTCCCCCGGGGACAGCCAGAGCCTGGGGGCCGCCCCTTCTGCGGGCAGCCCACCCCTCCCGGGCGACCAGGCCTGCGCCGCACATCTCCCGGGGGTGCCAGGGTCTGCAAGAATGGGGGTCACGTGTGGGGGTGCGCGTGTGTGGGGGTGCACAGCCCAGCCCTGCGTCTGTCTGTGACATGAGGCGGTGGCGCCTGCGGGGGGACGCTTGCCGCCTGGCGCCGGGGCCTGAGCCATGGTCAGGGGGTCTCCGCGGGGCCCGGGGGCCCCCAGGCTGCAAGGCGGGAGGGGCTCTGGCCACGGGCCAGGCGTGCTCGAGCGCGGGGGGCAGCGCCTCGCACACACCCTCCCGCCAAAAGGCTCCATGAGCTGAGGGACGGAGCGGGGAAGTCAGCGCGTGGACTGGGGGGGCGGGTCCCCAAACCTCAGTCCGTCAACAGCACAGCGTCTGTGAAGCTCTGGGGCGCAGGGAATCTGAGCGCCTCCAGGGCTGCCCTGGGCTTGAGGCGCCTCCTCTGGCCAGCCTGGCCCGAGGCCCTGGGGCCCCGTCAGGACCCACTCCAGGGGGGCCCGGGGCACCCCAGGGTGGGGAGCCTCTCGGGGCTGCCTCACCCACTTCCTCCTCCCAGCTGCCTCCTCCTCTTCCTTCCCTCTTCCCGACAGGGGCCGGGGCCGCGGGCTGAAAGGCCGGCATGGGGCCTGGGGCCTGGGAATCGGGGTTCACTCGCAGTTGTGGGAGCTGACTGGGCCGCTGTGGCTCAGGGGTGAGCTCTCTCGGGGGTCTGCCCCCCTCCCCCTGCTGGGGCATGTGCGGGCCGTCCCCAGACCACAGGCCTCACATCCGAGGAGGGCCCACCACAGAGACCTCGCGAACGCCACAGCAGCGGGGGCCTGTGTGGAGCCGGCGGGGTCACCTGCCTGCCCCAGGACACCCCGCCTGCCCAGGACGCCCCGCCTGCCCTAGGACACCCCGCCTGCCCAGGACGCCCCGCCTGCCCAGGACGCCCCGCCTGCCCCAGGACGCCCTGCCTGCCTGAGGACGCCCCGCCTGGTGGTGCAGGCTCCACTGCTGTCCTGGGCTGTGCTGCTCAGAGGGGCGGGAGGGCACCCCCCCAGGCAGAAGGGGTCTGTCTTCCTGAGCCCGGCCTGGCAGCAGCATCCATGTTGGTCCTGGCAGCCTGTCTTCCGGAAAGACCGTCACCGCTGACCCGCACCCTCTCCTCTCCACAGAGGCCCACGGGGCATGCCGAGTCCTCCGTGCTGGGGCCACCCCCGTCATGGAAGGTCCAGAGGAGGCGGCCGCTGAAGAGCCCGTCCCGAAGGGGAGGGGGCCAGCGTGGGCCTCAAGAGGCGGCGGCAGCAGCGATGGCCATGTCCGGAGGGTGACCGTGAGTGCACACGCGGGCTTGGACCAAGCCGGACCTGTGGGGGCCGAGGCTGCTGTCAGAAGCGGTGAGCGCGGTGGGTGGGGTCCGCCCTGTCCACCTTGTCCGCCCACACGCTGCCCCCACCTGTCCACCCGTCCACCGGTTCATCCACGCGCCCTGTGCCCACCCACCGCGGGCACCCGCCCTCGCCCATCTGCCCACGAGCCCCCGCCCACCCCATCTCCTCGCCACCCAGCGCCTGGCCTCCCCACCCCGTGGGCAGAGCTGGGGGTCTGCGCTGCGAGTGGGTGGGAGTGACCGTCCAGCCCACCGCTGTCCAGAGTCAGGTCCAGCCGGCGTTTCTCCAGGGGCAGAGCCCACGTGGAGGGGGGTGTTCTAGACTCGCCACAGTGCAGCTCTCCACAAGCCTTCGCACGAACCCTCTTGTCCGCACAGCCCCGGGCCCTTACGAGGGCACCCAGCGGCAGCGCCCCCGCCCCTGGGGGCAGACTTGGCCCCGAAGGCAAGGGCCCGGGTGCCGTAGTCACTGCTCAGAGACAAGGCCGGCGGGGAGGAGGCGCGGGCATGACAGGGCCAGCACCCCCTCAGCCCAGCTTCAGCCAGGCGGCCCCATCAGGCCATCGTCCACCTTCGCCCCTGCCACCTGCCCCGCTGCCCGCCAGGCCTCTGGGGTCGCATGTGGAAGCCCAGAGACCCCAGGAGCCATGAACCAGGCCTCTGGAGAACGAGGCCCAGCGGCTGGCAGAGGGCAGCTGGCACGGGGGACACTCGCTCTTGGCCATCCTGGGGTGGGCAGGGCGGCCTCCCTCCCAGTGCCGACGTGGGGTGGGTCAGGCCCTGCCTGGCCAGGAAGAGGGCTCTGAGGAGCTGGCGTGGGGGGCTGGGCAGGGCTCCCGTTGGCACTGAGCCCACCTTCGGGCAGCAGGAGGGACAGAGCAGCCTGGAGGGCAGCTGGCAGGGGCAGCGTCTCAGAGGAAGGGGTTCCCCGGCCACCCCGCGGAAGTATTCTCCGGCCAGCGCTTCCTCTCTCTGTGCTGGGGTTCCGGCATTGGCACAGGCATCGGCCTCGGCGAATCTGTGTGCCCCCACGTGGGCACTTCCCCTTTCTGGGCGGCTCCCGGGCTGCGGCAGGGAAGCCGGGCCTGCTGTGCCCCCAGGGCTCTGCGCCTCTCGCTGCCCAGGGCAGCTTCAGACTGAGCGCCAAGTCCACAGACCCGGGGCGCCTCCCGTGGGTGCCACCCGGCCCGTTCTCCCAGCCCCTGTGCCTGCGCTGCCTGCGGGATGCCCTCTAGCAGCCCGGCGCGATGGCAGCAGCGTGAGCCCGGTTGAAACACGGATGCCACGCTGCTGCCTCGTCCCGTGCCCGCCTTCCACCCACATGCCCTGCGGAGACGGCACAGCTGGGCCCCCTGCCCCCAGGGCTGCTGTCCTGAGAATACGCCTGTGTCCTGACCACAGCGCGGGGCGAGCTGCTGCTCTGGCCCCCCAGGGAGTGGCCGGTGCCGCTGGCCCAGGAGGCGGCCTGATCCGCCCAGACCTGAGCTCCCCTGGGTGGTCACCTCACATCTGTGGCCGGCAGAACGCGGCCCCAAAGTGGCCACGCCAACCCAGCACCCAGACACAGCGCCACCCGTGGGGGGGGTTATGGATCCTGAGACGGGCTGTCCTGGCCGCTCGGGGCCTAAATGCGCCCACAGTGCTCGCAGGAGTCGGGAAGGAGACTCGGGGCAGGAGCTCGGGGCCAGGGGAGGGAGCCACGAGCTGCAGGCCTCACAGGGGACGCCGCCAGCTATGGGGGGAGGGCATAGGAGCTGGACGAGGAGGGGGAGCCAGGCCTGCGCCCTGGACTTTGCCCAGCAAGGCCCAGGAACCCTTGGGCAGGATGAGATGCCCGCGCTGCCCGGGGCAAGTGTGCACTTGGGCACTGCCCCGGCACCTGGGAGCTTCCCCCGCCAGGCTCCGGTGCCTCGGGCGGGGGGGCAGGAACTCCTGTGCCGGTGGTTTATGTGGGGGGACACCCGGGCTTTGGGTGCGGGTCTGAGCCTGCCGGCTGCCCTCAGGACACCCGCTCTGTTACAGGCGCTGCTCCGGCCCCTGGCGTCTCCCCCCCGGCAGCAGGGACCCCTCCGGGCCAGATGGGAGTGTACCCCACAGGTAGCTCTGGGGCTGCCCCGCGCAGCAGCGTTCGCCTGGGCTGGAACGGGAACGAGGACATTCCTAGCACCCCTTCCTCCTGGGCTCGCTCTGTCCGTGGACTTGGGGTCCAGAGCAGGGCCCCAGATCCTGCCGTAAGATCCCCTGGAGGAGGCCTGGTGCGAGGTGCCCGGAGCGGAGCCGGGGTCTCGGGTCTGGCCCGGACTCTGCATTTCCACGCGGGGCGGAGGTGGGATGCCCTGCCTAAAGGGGCTGCAGGCCTGGGGGCCACGTGCGGGGAGCGGGACCCGGCGCCGCTCCAGGGAGGGTCGCAGGCGGCACCTGCAGGGACTAAACCAAAGGGCGGGGGCGGGGCAGTGTCCAGGGACGGACCTCCAGGGCGGGGCTCGGACAGGCGGGGCGTGGGCAGCCCGGGGAGGGGCCCTGCCGCCCCTGCTGACCCCGGGACGCGGGGGCCAGCACTGCGGGCAGGGCCCTTTGCCTCCAGGCCGCCGCTGCCCGCCCTGGCCGTGGGCGCTCAGCGCCGGGCCCCCCGCAGCAGCCTCGGGAAAGCTCGGCCGCCCTCTCCGGGAGGAGGGTGACAGCTCAGAGCCCGGTCTGAGCTCCGGCGGGGAGCGGGGCTGGACTCCAGATCCCAGAGGGCACCGGCTGCTCCCGGCGCTGCCCCGCGGGCCCGAGCCAGGCCGTCCTGGGCGGGGGCAAAGCTGAGCTGGAGGCGGGCGCCCCCTCCTCTTTCCTCCGGCCTTTTCCTCTCTCCGCCGTCCTGTCCCCTTCTTCCTCCCCCTCCCCTCCCCTCCCCTCCCCTCCCCCTCCCCCCACCATCGGGAGGCCCTACCTCCCCCAGCTAGCCAGAGGCCCCTTAGGGCGAGGGGGGTCCCTTGAGCTAAGATCTGAGGGGCAGCCGGGGACTGGTCCAGGCAGGGGTGCGAGGGCCCGGGCTGGGGGTGTCTCAGGGAGGGTGGAGTGGAGGGGCGAGTCCTCGGCTCGCGCTCCCCGGGGGCCACCGCGACGGGCTTGTGGTGAGGCCCCGAGAACCAGCCTCACTTCTGGGGCCGCGGGTTCTTGGGGCTGGTGCCAGCAACCCAAGGCACGGCCGGCCTGCGCCGGGTAACCCCGCCTGGCCCTGCCCCTTCAGACCTGACCCTGCGGCTGCTGGCCTTGCGGAGGAAGAGCGGGCAGCCCGATGCCCGCCTGCAGCAGGCCCTGCGGGCCCGGCTCCGCCTGCTGGAGAACGAGAGCCAGGAGGTGGCCCGGGTCCTGGGGGTGAGTCCGCCCCCGGGGGTGGTGGGAGGAGCTGGGCCTGAGGTGGGAGGACTGCTGGGGGGCGCGGGCTGGGGAGCCCGAGGGCTCGGGCCTCCAGGGCACGGCGGCTGTGGGAGGGGCCGGTTCCCGGACCACGTCTCCGGGTGTCACTCTGATGACCACGATGGTGCCCTGCGGCCATGGCGCTCCGGCCTCCTCGTTCCAGGGAGCGCATGGCCTGGGGCGGGCAGGGGGCTGTGTGCAGCCTCCATCACCCGCCCTTCACCGCGCAGAGAGCCCAGGACTGCCCTGGGGGGCCACCGCGGGCTTCAGAGCAGGGGGCGCAGTCCGGGCTGTGGCAGGAGCAGCTCTGGCTGCATCCCCGGCCCTGGCGGCCCTGCCCTCCCTACAGCCCGTGCCCTACAGCGGCCCCCAACTGGTCTCCGCTCTCAGGAGCTGTCGGCCCGGCTGCTGTCCATCCACAGTGACCAGGACCAGATTGTGGTGACCTTTAAGACGTTTGAGGAGATCTGGAAGTTTTCCACCTACCATGCTCTTGGTAAGGCGGCGACCCCAGAAGGGGCCGGGATTCCCCGTGGGGGACAGGACTCTCACCCCGCCGCGCCCGCCTCACACGCCCGTGCCTGGGAGGGGGCTTCAGCAGCCTCTTCGGGGCCAGGAACCCCAGTGCGAGCCCCGGCGTCTCAGGGTGGCAGGGCCAGTGCGGGCCAGAGCTGCCAGCGAGCCGGGCCGGTGTCCACTGCTGTGCCTTGCTTGGTGGCTCTCGGGCAAAGCGAGGCTCTGCTCTGAGTGACCACGTGCTGACCGGGAAGCTTATTCCAACCTCGGCCCAAGCGCACCCCCCAAGCACTCCCTGTCCTGGGGGAGGCCCCTGCAGGGTCTGCCTGCACCTCCCCATGTTAGCAGGGAGAGAGCGGGCACCCCGGGGCCCCCAAACCCGCCTGTGCTAAATGGGTTCTGCCGTCTGCTGCACCAAGTCAAAACACTGCAGTGCGTGAGGCCTTCGCGGGAGGAGCCCAGCCCCGGGCGTGCGCGCGGGAGACACGGTTGAGACACTCACCCGGCCGCCCCCCTTGCGGGTGGACGTCCAGCGAAGCAGGGTGGGCTCAAAGGGGGGACCCGGAGGCCCGAAAGCCTGCCGCACCTCTAAGGCCCCTCCTGGGGAGATCCCCGGGAAAGCGCGGGAGGGGCCCGGCGAGTCTGGGAGGAAAAGAGCAAAATCAAAACTCACGTCAAGGTGAAGCCGCCACGTCCGCCTCGCATGGCCTCTCACCGGCGTCCCCGCCTCTCCCGAGCGGCTCCCGCTGCGCCCCCGGGTCCTGGGCAGGCCAGCGTGGCTTCTCCCCGGCCTCCGCCCCAGGCTCCCGGGCCGCCTGCCTTTCTCTCCTCCCTTCTGGCTCCCCTCGGCCTCGCAGCTCCTGCTCACGCTCAGCTCCGCCCTCCTGCGGGGGCCCCTCTGTGGGCATCACACTGCTGCAGCTGGGAGCCGTGCGCCCCACGGGCAGTGCGGGCCCCCCACTGGCAGCACCGGCACCCCACGAGGGCCGCTCACACACGGGGAGCCTGGGGACCTGGAGGTGGGAGGCGGCCTCCAGGCACGGGGACCCGGCTGGACCTGGCGGCGGCCGCTTGTTCCGTCCCGCGGCTGCCCAAGCAGGGCGAGCGGATGGGCGGGAGGTGGGGGCTCCGCCCTGGGGGCCGCGGGGCTTCCCGCCCGGGCAGCGCATGATGGGCCTCCCGCCCCAGGCTTCACGCACCACTGCCTGGAGAACCTGCTGGTGGACCAGGCCTTCTGGCTGCTGCCGCCGGGCGAGGACGAGGAGACGGACATCCGGGTGCACGTGGACGAGGCGACGCTGCGGCTGACGCACGAGAGCCTCCTGGTCCAGGAAGGTGGGCACGGCGGCGGGTGGTGCTGGGGCGGCCGGGGACTCGGGCAGCTGGGCGAGCCTGGGCCCTGGGCTGGGAGGGGGGGGCGCGGGCAGTGTCAGCCCAGGCCCGGTCACCCAGCCGGACAGACCCTGATCCCCCACAAGGAGGTCATGGGAAAGTGGGCTTCGTGCGTCCCGCCCGGGCTGTGGCTCCGAGGCCATGGCGGCCGCAGAGAAGAAGGGAGGGCGGGCCGTGGCCAGGCCCCTGCAGCCGCCCACGCAGGAAGGGCTGGGCATCATGCTCCCAGCCCTCAGAGCACAGCCGGGAAGCAGGCCCAGAGGGTCCGAGCCTGGGCACGGTGGCAGGACGTGTCTGGACGGAGTGGACACCACCCCGGTCCAGCCTCTGGACAGGCCCCTTGGGCTCTGGGGTCGGGCAGCTGGTTTCAGTGAACGTTGAAAGTAGGGGTGGCGTGATGGGCTCCGGCAGGTGCCGCTGTCTCACCTGCGGCGGGGCCCACCTGCACAGTGGTCATGTCCAGAGCCCGAGTGACCGGCCTCTCCTCCCTGCCAAGGGCCTTTCTTTGTCCGGGGCGAGGACCATCACGTGAGAGTGACGACTGGTTCCCTCAGGCGGCCTTCGGGGCTTCCCCAGGGAGAGGCGTCCCTGGCAGAGGACAGGCCGACTCGCAGCCCCAGCAGCCCCACCGAGGAGGCAGCCCCCGTGGAGCCTTTGACTCCGTTTCACCAGTAGGTACCGACCTTCGTCTCTGCTTCCTGCCCGTCCAGTAGCGCGAGGCCCCGGGAGTCCCCAGGCCCTGGTCTGCTAGGAACCCCAGGGGGGTGAGGCAGGGTGAGCCCAAGGTGTGGGGCACGCAGCTCTGCTCTGTGTCGTTCTGGGTTGTTCTGAGCAGTCTTTGAGGGAGCCATGTACCATGCGCCCCTGCAAGGAGACCACGAAACCTGCGCAAACATAAACCAACATGCAGATAACGCCTCCGAGAAGGAGAGAGCAGGGAACGTGTAAGCTCCTGCTCACGTGCCGGATGCACGCTGGGCACTAACTTGACAGAGCTTCCTGGCAGCCAGAGCAAAAAGAGAAATTGGATGTGCTGATACTCAGCGCCCACGCAGCACCAGGCCATGGCTCAGCTCCTCCCAGGCTGGTGGGCAGAGGTCCCTGCAGGAGGGCAGGAGCTGCTGGGCAGGGGCACAGGCTCCTGGGGGCGGCACCACAGCACTGGGCCTGGAGCCTGCACACCTGGCAGGTGTCTGTGGGGGGGCAGGTGGAGACCCCACTCTGGTCCCAGGGGCTGCCGACTCGTCCAGTCGACAGTCTCCATCGCCCCAAACATGAGGCCACAGCACAAACCTCCTCCCGCTCCCAGGTGGGCTCTCAGGGCACCCGAGGGCCTGGGCGACGACTCCGTGGCAGGGCCCGTGGCCCCGGAGCAGGCGCTGATGGGTGAGTGTTTCCCTGGGAAGAGGCGAGCGAGGAATGGCAGTTCCCAACCTGAGGCTGCTGCACTCGCCCTCTCTCCTCCCGGCCAGAGGAGCCAGATCCCCTCCTGTGCTCGAGGCTCCCACAGCACGCAGCTCCCCGGCCGCCCCCTACCTGCCCCCCGGGACCTGCCGAGGGCAACTCAGCCACTTCTTGGCCCATCTCCATCTCGGCTCCCTTCCGTCGCCACCCTGAGCGGCCCTGAGCACCCGGTGGGCGGCTAAAGACAGAATGGCCAGCTGCCCCGTGCAGGGACAGGCCCCTGCTCCCCGGGAGCCCGGCTGGCGAGCGTGTGGCCGGCTGTGGTGCCCATCAGGCGGGCATGAGGCCCGTGCAGGAGGGAGAGGGGCTCGGCCTTACAACCTCCCGCTGGGCCCCCGCCTGGCCTCACCAGGTGGGATGGACAAGAGACCTGGCCTCAAAGCCCTGACCGTGACCTGGACCTGGTTCCTTCACATCTGGGTCTCAGTTTCTTACCATCACTGTGGGGATGACGCCCCCCAGGACCGTGGCCCTCGGGTGCCCGGGCCCAGCTCCCTCCTCCGGGCAAGCCTGCAGCAACACCCAGTGTCCCGCTGGCCTGCAGCTGGGGCAGCCCTGGCCTGGCGCCCTCTGCTGACCACGTGCCCTCCCCGCAGCCACGGGCCTGGCCTCGGCGGTGGCAGACTGCGAGGGCTCGGGCCCCGAAGAAATGAGCTTCCGGGCTGGCGACCACATCGAGATCCTTGGCGCCCGGGTGCCTGGCCTGCCCTGGTGTGTGGGCCGTCACGTGGCCTCGGGCAGGGCAGGCTTCGTGCCCTCAGGAGCCATCAGCGTGCAGGGACAGGAGTCGGCGTGAGTGCGGCGGGCGCCCCTGGGAGGGCAGGGGCCTTGGGAGGCCCCAGGACGGACGCGCCTCCTCCCAGGGCCCCCCTGAGAGCAGGGCCTGTCCTGGCCTCTCTGTCTCCCAGCAGCCGGGCGCAGGGACCCCACGGGGCAGGCCGCACCCGACAGGACCCTGCCTTTGGAAACCACTGACGCGCGCGTCATTTTCCAGGTCGGAAGACGTGATTTTCCTCACTGAGGACGAGAGGGCGTTCTTCGGCAGCGAGGGGCGCTTCTCCGAGGAGGAGGCCAGGCGGCTGCTGAGGAGGACGTCGGGCTCGGACGCCTGCACCCAGTACAGCCTGGGTGGGTCAGGCGGGGCCGTCGCGGTTGCCCCAAACCTGCTTCCCAAAGGGCTGGACGGAGAGACGCCCCCAAGTCCCCCAGGCGCTGGCCACACCTGGCTCTGTGTGCTCAGCTGCCCAGTCCGCTCTGCTCACAGCAGCCCTCCTGCCCCGTGGGGAGCGCTGGCTCCTCAGCGGTGAATGCCAACCCCAGGCACCAGCAGTGACCAGACAGATGCTATTGCTGCCCAGGGCCACGCGGGGCTGCAGAGACATGGGGGCGGGGCTAGGAGATGCAGAGGGGCCCTGAGGCTCCTGCTATGGGGCAGGGGGCAGCGAAGCCTTCCCTCCTGCCACCACAGGCACCAACCTCACAGCCACACGTGCACACTCACCACGCCCGTGCATGCACAGGGGCATGTGGGTGTGCACACAGCAGCATGTGCACACACAGCCCACAATACACACACCGAGGCAGGCAGCACTGCCCACACGTGTGCACGCCCACCTGAACTGTGCGCGCGCGCGCGCACACACACACACACACACTCCCCACCACATGTGCACAGGGCCACGTGCACACACCTCACATGTAGGTCAAAAGCTCCCAGCCCCACCAGCAGCCTCTCCTCTGCAGCCGCGGGCCTGGCTCGGCCTCAGCATGGCAGGGCCAGCTGCGGGGGCTCGTGGGCCCTCCTGGCTGGTACAGGGTCTCCCCTGCTGGGCCGCCTGGCTCCGGCCTCAGCTCTGCAGCCGTGGTTCCAGCGCTCAGCGCACGTCTCACCACCCTCCTTCTCCCTTGACTTCTGTGGCCACTGAGCTGTGGGTGACCAAGGCCCTGGCCGGCACAGCTTTGGAGCGGGATTCTGTGCCAATGGGCCATGCCGCTCCCCGGGAGAGCTGGAAGGAGGGTGCCACTCTGGTGGGAGGCAGGACCCCACTGCCAAGGGACAGCCGCAGAGGCCCCTGTGGGGGTCAAGGCTGTCTGGGGTGGGCTGGCCAGGCCTGCAAGGTGGGGTTCGTTCCCCTCGGCTGGCGCGCCCAGCCCCTGCACGAGTCCGCTATCCTGTGTGTAGCGCACACCCCGCGTGGCCACCCGCGGCCCGGCCCAGAGGCAGCACTCAAGTGGCTCTCCTCTCTCTTTGCAGACCGACTAGCGGACGCTGGGCTGGAGGGGCCAGAGGGGCCGGATGAGCAAGGTGGGTTGTCCAGGCACTGTGAGGGCTGCCCCGGCAGCAGAGTCCTGGCTGGGTGTGGGGGATTGCTGCGCGGGAAGGTTATTGGGGGTCTCCATCCCACAGGAGGGCTGGGTGAGGTGGAGGTGACGCCCCCCCTTTGCTGTGGCAGTGGGTCCCCAGGGAGCATGCAGCCCCGCACTGTCCCCAGCAGACGTGGACTCTCCGCTGCCCGCTGCTGCTCAGCTGGGGGTTCCTCTCCCACAACCAAAGCGGCAGAAATTTGCTCCAGGCTCTGCTCTGCAGGGTGAAGGGGAGGCGGAGCAGAATATGGGGAAGCCCCTGTGGTCAGCTTCAGCAGACCCCAGCCCCTCCTTCCCGTCCCCAACAGAGTCTGCCCGGGGCCCCTTTGAGGGTTCCTGGGGATGACACCCACTCGGGGATGTGGCCGGGGCTGTTCCAGGGCCTGGTGCTTTGTCCCTTTGAGCCCCATAAGAACCGGGCTCAATCTCCCAGCTGCGGGGAAGGTCTGGGGGCCGCATCCCTCTCCTCCTAACGGAAGTGTCCCCAGGATAGAGCCAGCGCGGGGGGCCAGTCCCCAACTCGACTGTGGCTGGAGGGGCCTCCATGCTCCTGCAGAACAGCAGCTATGACCGGGTCTCCATGCAGTGGCGGGGAGGCCGGCCCTGGTGGGGGACCCCTCGCTGGTGCGTGAACATTCTCGGGGCCACCGGGCATAAAGGGGCCCCGAGGGTGCTGAGCTCCACGGCAGGCCTCCTGGGGCTGCAGCGCGGGCAGGGCCCACGTCCTCTGGTGTCCGTGCTCAGTCCCCACGCATGCTGCATGCCGGGTGCCGTGAGGGGGGCACTGAGGCCTGGGGGGTGCCCGCCAGCCTGGGAGGGGGCATGCCCAAGCCTGCCCGCAACCCTAACCTACTTGGGCCTTGGTAACTTGCAGAAATTCCTTTACTTGGTGTGAACCCGGAGCCCCGGCAGACCCTGCAGAAGGTGAAGAATGTCCTAGAACAATGCAAATCCTGCCAGGGCTGCCCCACAGAGCCCGTGTCCTGGGGACTGCACAGAGCATCCAGAAGCCCCAGCTCGCTGGGCCCAGAGGAGCCGGTCATCTACCTGGATGCCGAGGACGCCTGGGACGACCCAGAAGCCCTGGACCCACTGCTGCTGCTCCTGGACGCTCCGGGGTACCAGGCCTGCTTCCGAGGCCTGTACGACCTGTCCCTGCAGGGGCCGAGCAGCCTGTTCCGCGGCTTCAGCAACGAGGACCAGCTGGCCGGGTGCCTGGCACAGGTCCGGGGAGTGGCCAAGAGGGCCGGCCTCCCCATGGCGCTGGCCAGGCTCTGCTTTGTGCTGGGGCAGCTGTGCGCGCGCAAGCTCAAGCTGTCCCAGGCCCGGGTGTACTTCGAGGAAGCCCTGAGCACCCTGGGAGGTCACTTCGACGACCTCTTCCTGGTGACAGCCGTGTACACCAGCCTGGCCGCCGTCCACCTGAAGCAGAAGAACAGGGACAAGTATGCGCAGGTGGTGCCCAAGGCCCTGGCCCTGCTGCTGGGCGCGCCAGGGCTGCTGTGCAGCTCCGAGGCCGAGGCAGAGCTCCTAAGGCACGGCCTGCGGGGAGCCATCCGCAGCTGGAGCCCGCCGGCTGAGGCGCGGGCCTGCTTCCTGCTGGCCCGGCACCACATCTGCCTCAAGCAGCCCGCGGAGGCCCTGCCCTTTCTGGAGAGGCTGCTGCTCCTGCAGGGGCCCACGGGCGCTGCCTGGCCGGCCGACTGCTACCTGCTGCTGGCGGACGTGTACAGCCACAAGTGCCTGCCGCACCTGGCGCTGAGCTGCGTGAAGGTGGCCTCACGCCGGGCACAGAGCTCACTGGCTAGTGCGTTCAGGAGCATGGACCTGGTGCTGCGCCACACGCCCCGGCTGCATGGCCTCCCCGCCCAGATCGCCCGCTACCTCAGGCAGGCGCTGGCCACAGGTGTGGGCCCCACCCTGCGTGGGCCCCTCTATGCCAGCCTGGCCCAGCTGCACAGTCACCACGGGCAGCACGGCCGGGCCATTGCCTTCATGACACAGGCCCTGGACGCCGAGGCCAGGGCCGGCAGCCACTCTGCCGTGGACTGCCTGGTGGCCCTCGCCTGGCTGCACATGCTCCATGGGCAGAGCTGGGTGGCCCTGGACATCCTGGAGTCCACCCTGGATGCGGCAGTGGCCAGTGTGGACCAGGAAGGCGTGATCGCCAATATGGCAGCCATCGCCCTGAGGAGAACCGGCAGGACCCGGCAGGCGGCCGAGGGCTACTACCGCGCCCTGCGTGTTGCCAGGCTCCAGGGCCAGCCGCGGAACCAGGCGGTGGTCCTGGCCAACCTGGGGGCCCTGTGTCTGCGGGCGGGTGCCGGCCGGCTGGCCCAGCACTACTTCTTGGAGGCTGTGAGGCTGTTCGCGCAGCTGCCCAGCGGGGAGCGCGGCCCCGACTTCACGCAGGTGCTGCTGCAGCTGGGCCACCTGTGCACCCGCAAGGCCCTGGCCCGGCAGGCCGAGTGCTACTACCAGTGGGCCTTCCTGGTCGCTGTGGAGACCGGCCACCTGGAGAGTAAGTGCTGCCAGCCCTTCCGTACCTGCACCTGTGACGGCCCCTGCCCCGGGGGAAAATGCCATGCCCGGGTTCCAGAGGGGCCAGGCAGAGAAGGGCGGCCAGCTGGCCAGCTGGGATGCCAACCGGGCATCCCGAAGCCTCAGGGGAACAGGCAGCAGTTACCCTGGACAAAACACAGGCCGGGGGGGCGGCGGCTAAGCCCAGAGGAGTGCGTGGGTCTTGAGCCGCAGAGGGCATGCGCGTGCCTGGCTCTGCGCCGGTGGCAGGTGTGGGAACAGGCGCCCCAATCACCAGAGCCCAAGGGGCACGCAGTGTGTCGATGCCACTCTGGCCCCGAAGGGCAGGATGGGGGCGTCTGTTCAATCTGGGACCTGGGTTGTGGGAGGTTTGGCCGAGCAGGGGCGGGGGCAGCTGCTGGCAGGTGCGCCTGTGCCAAGGCCCTGGGGCGATGGGCCTGGCCTGGCGGGGGTGCAGTGGTGGGCCGAGGGCTGCGAGGACCGGGGACCCTGGCTGTGGTTGGACATTTTTCCTGAGAGCACCGGGGAGCTGTTGAGATGTGGAACACTCGCCGAGGCTGGAAGGGGATCCACGGGCCCCCAGGCAGAGCCGAGAGCCTGCCCCGACCACTGTGGCCGCTCGGGTCCTGGGGCGCTCGCCGGTGCTCCCGAGGCCTCTCAGAAGCCTCCTGTGATGCCCAGCCGGCCACTGGGGATTCAGACTTGGAAGCGGCAAGCCTGGGGCCGGGGTACCTGGTGCCCCCCCAGGGCAGGCTGGGGAGACCAGGACCTCCCGGAGCTGGTGGGGTCACTGCTGAGTCCTGCGGGGGCTTCCGTCTCTGGGAGCTTGTCCGCGGCGGTCTGCTTGTCGGTGCAGGGAGCTGCCCGCGTCCACGCCCGACTGCGGCCCCTCCCCGCGCCAGGCCAGCTGGGATGTGTCCACGTTGTTCCTCCTGGCCAGGAAGCCTGGGTTCTACTGCTCGTCTCTGCAGCCCGTCCTCTCCCCCCGGCCCTGGGCCCCTCCTCCTCCCGCGGCTCTGGCAGGGACGCCCTTCCCGGCTCCCCGCATGGGCTTGGCGCTTCGCCCGGCCTCCCGGCCGCAGAGCCCAGGGCAGGCGCGCAGCGTGCTGAGCTTTCATCTCCCCCTCGCGAAAGCTCTAGTTTCGGTTGTGATTTCCTCCTCACTGCCCAGCGGTGGGGTGAGCGCTGCCTTCCACGCCTCCTGCTGTCGCCTGGAGACCCCCACGCTGGGGCCGGTGCCTGCGCTGGGGCTGGTGCGCCCCTGGCCGAGTCCGCCCCCCCCGGGCTGACGGAGAGTAGCCTGAGATGTGGCCGTGGACCCTCTGCCAGAGGTGGCCCTGGAAGCTGCTATGGGTCTAGTCGGTCTCGTGAGCTCAGTCTCCCCTTCCCTGTTGGTCTCTGGGTCCTTTGACCACTGATGGCCCCTGGCTCTGGCTCCCGGGAGGCCAGCGAGGGGTGTGGGGCCGGCTGCATGAGGGAGATGGGTCCGGGGCGTGCCAAAGTCCATGCCTGATGCCCGCCCCGCCATGTGCGCGTGCTGTGGCCTCGGCCGTGGCCCTGCGCGTGCCCGCCCGGCCGGGGGCAGTGTGGCTGCAGCTGTGCTCAGTGGGGCCCTGCCAGGACCAGCCCGGTGGGTGCACAGGCTCGTGGCGTCTCCACGGCGTCTAGGGCCCTGCCGCGGCCGTGCGACGCTGAGCAGGCCGAGCTCAGTGCTCCCGGCTGTGTCACCCCTGCGAGCGGGGCAGGAAGGGTGGGCACAGGGCTCTGTGGCCGCAGGGCGGTGACCTCTGACTTCTGTCCCCCACCCCAGGCCAGCTGCTCGCCATCCAGCAGCTTTGTCACTTCTATACGGCCATCATGCCTAGCAAGGCCCAGTGCGTCGTCTACCACGAGTTCCAGCTCTCGCTGGCCCGCAGGGTGGCCGACAAGGTGCTGGAGGGTCAGCTCCTGGAAACCATCAGCCGCCTCTACCTGTCCCTGGGCACCGAGCGGTGAGGCTGGCTCCACGGGACGGGGGCTGGGGTGCTGGGCCCTGGCCGGGACAGCCCCTCCTGGGGGACATCCCGCTCCTCAGCCCAGATGACAGCAGCGCGCGGACCCGCTCGGCTCGTACCCAGAGGCGTCCCCGGAGGCAGAGTGTGCTCCCTGGGCTGTTCTGGCCTTGCAGCCGCGGCAAGCCTGCCTGAGCCGCTGGCCCGGGCCTCTGGGGTGAAGGCAGCGGCCACTGTGGCCGGAGGAGCTGGTCCACAGGAGACGCCCGACGTCCGGCTCTCCCCCGGGCAGGGCTTGGGGTGGCATGTCCAGTGTGGAGTCCACACCGAGCATCCTGATCAGGTGGGGCACCCCAAATCACAGCGATGACACCCCTCCATGTGGGAATTCACCCCCAGAGCCAGGAAGCTTTTCCATGGTGAGGCCTCACCCCACCCCAGCTCCAAGCCTCAGTTCACAGCGGGACGGTGGGGCCTGGGCCAGTGCACCCAGAGTGGGATCCCCACAGCGGCAGCCACTCACCCGCAGCGCGTGGTCTGACCGTCCACCCCCAATTCCAGGGCCTACAAGTCCGCGCTGGACTACACCAAGCGCAGCCTGGGCATCTTCATCGACCTGCAGAAGAAGGAGAAGGAGGCGTACGCCTGGCTGCAGGCTGGCAAGATCTACTACATCCTGCAGCAGAGGGAGCTGGTGGACATGTACATCCAGGTGCGCCCCCACCCCACCCCCCGCCAGAAGCACCTGCCGCTGGCCTGCTGCCCCCCAGGCACTCCTGGCCCCTCCAACCCTCTGGACACCCCCAGACCCCCGCACCTCCAGCACCTTCCACAATGATCCAAACTCTGAGGGCAGCAGCCTGAGTTGCTCCTGCTGCCCACCCCGTGCCGGTGGGAGTCTATGAGGGGACAGGCGCTCCCCTTCAAGACACACCCCCACACACACACACACAAAACACGGCTCAGAACACGCCAGAGGCCCTGAGCCCCGTGAGGCTGTCTCAGGCCCTGCTGTGGGGCGGGGCCTGGCGCCAGCTGAGAGCTCAGGCCCGAGGGGGACGTGCTGGCCGCAGCTGTGAGGGCGGTCCCAGGTGCGGGGGCGCTGGGCTCCCGGGCACGTGGCCATGAGGGCGCCCGCCTCCCGCAGGTGGCTCAGAATGCGGCCCTGTACACGGGGGACCCCAACCTGGGGCTGGGGCTGTTCGAGGCGGCCGGGGACATCTTCTTCAACGGGAGCCGGGAGCGGGAGAAAGCCGTGTCCTTCTACCGGGTGAGCTGCCGAGGGCCAGTTGGGCGGGTCTGGGGCCCTCGCTTCCTGGTGGCTCTGCCCGGAGTGATCTTGGCCCCCAGATGAAGAGGCCAGAGGCAGCTCAGGGTCACGGTGCTTGGGGTGAGTCCAGTCCCCCTTTGACGGTGAGGAGCCCAGGCTCGGGCCGTGGGAGGGCCGGCCGGTCCAGCCGCACCTTCTCCCCTGAGGGCGCTGCCCCCTGCCCGTGCCCGACCCAGCTCTCAGGTATGGCCCAGCCCTGGCACAGAGGGCATCCGGGCCTCCTGGGCAAGGCCCCTTGCCCAAAGGGCGGGGCCGGGCTGAGGTCAGGCCTGTGGCTGGACGGGCTCGGGTCCCGCCAGGCTCGCCATGGCCAGTGTCACGACCTCCCTGAGTGGGCCTTTCTTTGCGGACGGCGAGTGAAGCCCAGCGGGGTGGGCGGGAGCTCGGCACCCATGGGGCTCTGAGGAGGGTGCGGTTGCCGTGCTGCGGGGCCTGATGTCGCCTGTGTGCAGGACCGGGCGCTGCCGCTGGCCGTGACCACGGGGAACCAGGAGGCCGAGCTGCGGCTGTGCAACAAGCTGGCGGCGCTGCTGGTGGAGCTGGAGGCACCGCACGAAGGCCTGGAGTTTGCCCACGTGGCCCTGGCACTCAGCATCACCCTGGGTGAGCCCCGTCCCCTCCCGGGCCGGCTCTGGGGTGTGGGGCCTCAGCAGTGGAGGCGGCAGGGCCGAGGCAGAATGCTCTCCGGAGAGTGTCAGCGCCCCTGATGGTGCCTGCCCGGACAGTGAACTGAGAGCTCCCAGGCCCCCCACCCCAACATCCCAGGCTCCTCACTGGCCCCTCTGGGGTGTCCTGCCCCCCACCTGTGTCCACCTGTATGCAGACCCCCACAGCCTTGCTCCCAGCCAGCCCCACTGTGCTCCTGCTGGCAAAATCCCCGCGCTTTCCCAGAGCTGGGCCCTCAGCGGTGGGCATCCCTCTGTCCGGGCTGTCTGTGTTCTGCTGAGCCAGGGAACCAGCACACAGTAGGGCCAGCACACAGCAGGGCCACCACAGGGTTTGCCCTGGCCCTGCAGCGCTGGCCCTGGTGGGGGAGGATGCTAGAGACAGCAGCTGGGCAGGCCGGGGCTCCCAGGGGCGGGGTGGGCCTGGTGTGGCGCCTGCAGGCTGGAGGCCTGGGGCCCGTGAGTGTGCAGGCAGGAGCTGGGGCCCACACCCCCGGAGGACGGGTGCTCAGAGGGCCGGGCCGGCCGGGGACACGGTGGTGGGCAGGGCGCTGCTGACAGCCGCCCATCCGCAGGGCACCGGCTGAACGAGCGTGTGGCCTGTCACCGGCTGGCCGAACTGCACCACCGGCTGGGCCAGGCCGAGCTGGCCGAGCACTTCTACCTCAAGGCGCTGTCGCTCTGCAGCTCGCCGCTGGAGTTCGGCGAGGAGACCCTGTACTACGTGAGGGTGTACCTGGTGCTGGGCGACATCATCTTCTACGACCTGAAGGTGGGGCTCGGGGCAGGGCGCCCTGGGGACCTGGGGCCTGGGCCAGCTGCCAGGAGCAGGCAGGTCAGCGGGGCGCGCAGCATGCCCGTGTGCACCCAGCATCTCGCGAGCTTGGGGTCAGCAGGGGCTGACCTGTGGGCCACCAGGCAGCCATGGGCTAAGGGCCAGCGGAAGGGAGTGCCATCCGAGGGCCTCGGGGAGGTGGTCGCAGAGCAGAGTCTGGACAGTTCCCCACACAAAAGCGGAAGGGGATAGGGTGTTCTGGGGGCAGAGCGGGCCCCCCATGCCCCCAGAGACTCTCGCTACCAGGTGAGTCCCAAATCCCGACACCTCCTCCAGGAAGCCTGCCTGTAAGTACAGAGTTCTTCCTCCCTGGATTCCTGAGACACCCAGCTGTCCCCAGGGGAGGCTGGGGGCCCTCTGTGGTCCCGCTTCACGGGGCAGGCACTGGTCAGGGTTATCGAGCAGTCCCTTGGGGCCTCAGTGCTGGGGGACCCTTGGGAGACTGTGGGGGTGAGTGGAGGCGCGGGAGGGCCCTGAGCTGGAGTCTGGGGTTTGATCCAAGTGTCTGGCATCTGAGGACTAGGGGCACCCCCCATCAGGCTGCTGCAAGCTCCCGAGGCGGCTTTACACTGGCCCTCGGCAGGGAGAGGCCCGGACCTGCAGCCTCCGTGTGGACCCGGGGCTAGCGTGGGGCTCTGGGAGCAGGTGGGCCAGGCCCCTCAGCCCCGGGGGCCACAGGTGAACTCCAGGTGCTGGAGCTTTGGGGGAAGGGCCAGGGCCTTCCAGGGCAGTGTGAGGCTGGGTAGGGGCAGTGGGGAGGGGGGACAGGGTGTGAGGCCCCGGGCAGCTCCTGGGGTGCCCGCAGGAGGACATGCAGGCGTCCAGGCCCCCAGCACAGAGCTCAGGCCCTGGGGGCAGTGCTGGAGCCTGGGCCTCCGGCAGGAAGTGCTGACCCACTGTCAGGGCCGCGGCCCTGGGCTCACCAGGCGGAAGGCGGAGAGGCGGGCGAGGTGGCCTCTGGGCGTCAGCTCCAAGCCCACCACCCCGGGCGCAGGCCACCCCGGCTCTCACCTCTCCCCACAGGACCCCTTCGACGCGGCCGGGTACTACCAGCTGGCGCTGGCGGCGGCTGTGGACCTGGGCAACAAGAAGGCGCAGATGAAGATCTACTCCCGCCTGGCCACCATCTACCACAAGTTCCTGCTGGACCGCGAGCAGTCCCTCTTCTTCTACCAGAAGGCCAGGGCCTTCGCCACCGAGCTCAGCGGCCGCCGGGGCAAGCCGGTCCCTGAGCAGTACTGCAGGCGGATGCCCTGGCTGGCCCCCGCCCAGCGGCCCTGAGCGTCCCGGGCGGATGTCCTCGGGGGGGAGCCCCCGCAGCAGGGGTCAGACCGCAAGAAATGGTTTGGCGGGAACCACGGAAGGCCGAGGCTGACCTCCCGGGGGCTGCCCACGGTCCCCAACCCCAGACGCCTACCTGTCAGAGCGGGAGGGCCCTGGGCATCGACCGCTCCCTGCGCCCTCCCTGCGCCCGCCTTCAGCCCTCAGGCCACCCCAGCAGATTGGGTGCATCTGTCTGGGTTTGCAGTGGAAGAGATGGAGGCACAGAGAGGCCAGGGCCGTGCCCGCGGTCAGCAGCAGGTGGGCAGAGCTCCTGAGCCGGGTCCCCACCCCAGCCTCCGCCTCCCCGCAAGCAGGCAGGGGCAGGAGCCCAGGGCAGGGCCCAGACGGCCGGGAAGGGAAGCCGAAGCGAGGAGGAGCTGCGGGCACCACCTCAGCTGTTCTGAGCGCCTCCTTTTCTCTTCAGTTTTTGTTGTTGTTGTTAATAAGGTGAAATTCACGCAACATAAAATTTACCATTTAAACGCATTTTTGTGCATTTATGATGCGATGCACCCACCACCTCCGTCTAGGTCCAGAACACTTGCCTCACCCCAGAGAAGCCCGCTGTCCCCCTGAGAGCCGCTCTCCCCCCACCCCCCAAGACGCTCATTTAGCAGAAGGGGGACCAGCCCCGAGCAGGGCTTGGGACGGTGGGAGCCTGGCGAGGCCCCGGCTTTGCTGCTTCTCCCAGGACGGACAGGTCAGGGGCTCTGTCTCGGGGTAACTGGCCCCCCCACCACAGCCGCCCAGGCCCGGGGGCCGCTCCCACCGGGGGGCAGCGGAGAGCACGCCCTTGCTGCACGGGCTGGCGCTGGACCAGCTGGAGGCGCCATCGCCCCCCAGGACGGCCGCGCGGGGGCGGGGCGGGGGCTCCGTAATTGAAAACACCAGGCAGGAGAGGCTGCCCGTGCAGTAACCCCTGGACACCAGTCTCAGAGGCCGTGGACCTGCTGGGCAGCGCCCCCAGTCTGGGCCTGCAGCCATCGCATGGAGGGGGACCAGCCCCAGAGCCCGCACCTCCCTGGAACCCTTCCTGTCCCCCACGGCTTCCTCCCCACCCCCACCGCATTCCCCTGCCAAGGCCGGGCCCCAGCCCTGCCCGGGACCCTGCGCTGGCCTCCAGGGCCTCTGGGCCCTCAGGAGCAGACCTGGAGGTGCAGGGGCGACTCCTCCTGCCGCTTGGCTCCAGTCCCAGCCCCGGCCTCCAGGCTGTGGGGCTCCCGGGAGAGTTTATTCCTCGGAGGTCTGGTTTGGTCCCGTGTGAGCCGAGCATCTCTATGGGGCTGCACTGCGGACTCGAGGGGCTCCACCCAGCCCCAGCCCCGGACCACTGGGGGCTCTTCCCATTAACATGTCCCGAGGTGGGAGGGGCTGCGCCCCAGCAGCAGACCCCCAGTCACCCCCACCGCCCGCCCCTCCTCATGCGTGACCGGCGCCTCCCCACAGGGTCCAGGGCACGAAGTGTGGACGTGGGTGCGTGTGGAGAGCAGAGCCAAGAGGGCCTGCTAGGCCCCGGACTGTGGCTGAAGGACATGGGGAGGCTGGCTGGGCCTCATGTCAGCTGGGCTTCAGTCCTGCTTGACCGCTTCAGAGGCCAGGCCTGGACAACCCTCCCAGCAGAGGGGGCATGAGATGGGCACGTGCCCGGCACACAGTAGGCACTCAGCACACAGTAGGCACTCGGCCCTGTGCACCGAATGGGCACCTGGCCCGGAAGCCCTGGGCCCTGGTTTTAGAAGGCAGTGTCTCCGCTGGGCTCGCCGGCTGCCTGCCCTGCACACCTACTGCGCGCAGGCTCCACTGACCGCCGCAGACCAGGCGCAGGACTGTCACGTGGGGGCAGTTCCGGAGGCGCTCCCGGGCGGGATGAACTCACGCTCCTGGCCAGGGCTCCCTGGAGGCCTCCTAGCCTCCTCCCCAAACAGAGAGGGAAAACAGCCTGCGAGGCCCACCGCCCACCTCCTGGCTGCAGGCGCCAGGCTCCCTGCCCGCCTGCTCGGAGGCCGCCTTCCCTGTGCGTGGGCTTCCTTCTGGGGCCAGGGCTGCCGGAGTCCAGCCTGGCCTCTAGCTTTGGCTGAGGGAACGGAGGCCCAGAGAGCACCCCAAGGATCACAGCGCAAGGCCATGGCAGCCCCCACCTGCTCGGAGGGTGAGGCCCAGGGTTGGGAGGGACCACCGCGGGGAGCCAGCAGAGGGGTCCAGCAGGCCGTGGAGGGTCTCCCATGAAGACGTGTCAGACGATCCTGGGTGTCCAGGGGCCATCACGTGACACCCCCCCCCAGACCCCACCAGCACCAATCCTGACCCCAGATGTGCTTTTCTGGGACTCAGGGGCAGCCAGCTGGGCCATCTCGGGCTTCAGCGCTTGCCTGGAGGGCTGCTGGTCACGGCCATGGGACGGGTGCACTGTCTGCAGCAGCACGTTCAACGGCAACAAGGCCCAGTGGACACTGGAGGCCGGCAGGTCCCCGGTGAGCTGTGAGCCTGACCCCCGCGCAGGTGTGCTCCCCTTGAGAGGCACCGGGCGGCTCTGGTGAGGGGGGCACTGGACCCCTGCCCCCTCGGGCTCACATGGCCCTGGGGCTGCAGGAGAGCCGGTGTCAGGCAGCGTGCCTCCACGGTCCGATGTGGGGTCCTACTGTGCGCGAGGTCCAGTCTGCCTTCCCACCTGCATCCAGGCTTCCGCTGAGCCCCCCGTCCCCCTCACACCCCTGATGCCCCCACTCGCCCCTGCCTCCCCCCTGCATCTGTCCCACGGGCTACCCAAGCCCTGTCCCGAGCGCCGCCTGGCCTGGCTCCCTGGCCTGCGGGGTCAAGTGCGCCTGCCCCGCCCTGCCCCGCCTGGGCCTGTGCCCCTGACCGGCAGGCTCGGGCCGCAGGGGCAGGTTAGCAGGGAAGGGACTCCTAGAACCACACCTGCCCCGCCCACTGCCCCTGCCGCCTCGCGCCCCGGGTGCCAGGTGGGTGCCGCGGGACTCCACGCACCCGCTGAGCCCTTTGGGGTGGGGCCTTCGCAGGTGGGGGTCCCGCCGGTCCCTGAGCCTGCAGGCAGCTTCCAGACACCTCCAGGAGCATGGGGTGCGAGACGTTTCGGGAGAGGCTGCAGGGGTGGCCATCAGCAGCGTAGATTTGGGGTCCTGACAGTGGGGAAGCCGTGGTAGCCCCAGAAAACGTAGGTGATGCTCACCATGTGGGGGACGCAGGGGTCACGCGTGATCTGGGGGGGGCAGCGCCACAGTGAACGCAGAGAGAGGAGGCTCCGTCTGCGCGCAGTGGGGGCCGCGGGGCCGAGCATGGGCCAGCGCCTTGTAGGCTGGGCAGAGGATGGGCCGGGTCAGCGTGAGAAGAGGGAGAGGCCCGCGCCCCACCCGGGGCCTCCAGAGCCAGCCCAGCCCACGGAGCGGCCAATCCGGCGTCCTCGCGGGCTGCCCGAGGTGCGGGAAGGGCACGCCTCGGTGAGGTCACCCCCGCGGCCCAGCCAGAGCCGCGAAAGTGCTGCATATGCACAAGCCACGGCCAGCCCCGGGGACCAACGCCGGCCCACGGGCAGGGCTTCCAGGCAGAGCCGCCACATGCCGAGGGGCCTGGACCGCAGGAAGCTACGGGACCCCCGGACAGCGCTGCAGGGGACACTCCCCCGCTCCCTGCCTCCCGGGACGGCCCGTGGGCCCGCACCCAGCACACCACACGGCACACACATGGCACACAGCACACACATGCACACAACACAGCACACAGGGCACAGCACACACAGCACACACCCATACATGGCACACACACAGCACACACACAGCACACAGCACACACAGCACACACACAGCACACGCACCCCTTCGGCAGCCTCAGGGGGGAGGGGCGCTGTGTCTGCAGCCCAGGTGTCTGGGCCCAGCCCTCTGGGCTCTGGGTTCACCCTGCACCCTGACACTGCTCAGCCCCCTCTCCAGTCCTGGCGCACTGGGGGTCCGTCAGGCTCCTCCCTGAGCACAGCCCCCCTCCAGCACACTGAGCACCACCAGCTCCCCCGCCCCTCCCCGAGAGGGGATGATCAGGAGGCCCTGAGTGCTGAAGTCAGCCCGTGGTGCCCTCCGCCAGCCCAGGAGGGGACTGTCCAGTCAGGCCTTGGGTGCTGTGCCAGCAGTCGGGGTCTGGGGGAGGCCGGCTGTGCTGTTGGGCACACCTGGGGCAGCAGCTCCTCTCTGAACTGGGCCCCGGGACCATGCCGGGCTTCGCTGCGGGAGGTGGGGGGGGCCTGCTGGTCAGCCCAGCTGGTAGGGAAGATGGATTGTGGGTGGCCACACCATCCCCCGGGCCCAGGGCACCCCGCCAGGCATGCCTCCTACCTGGCGCCCCTCCCCCACGGGCACCCGCCCCATCTGGGCACCCCACAGTGCAGAGCAGCTATGCCTCACTGGCTGAGCCAGGGGGCAGCGGGAGAGACTGCCCAGGGCCGGAGGGTTTCTGCAGAGGTGGAGCCAACGAGCAGGCTGCGGAGCTGGGACCAGCCTGCCTCCGAGGCAGTGACCCTGGGCAGTGACCCCAGAGAGACTCCTGCAGTCCCCAGTTGCTGGGGGGAGACAAGAAAAGGGGGTGGTTCAGGGAGCCTCGGGGTTAGGTTACCACATGACAGGGACAGAGAAAGACAGAGACAGAGAGACAGAGACAGAGAGAGGGCGACTGGGGAGGCCTGGAGACAGAGCTCCAGGCTGGCCGGGGAGGGAGCAGCCGCTCCCTGAGGGCTGACAGCGGAGAGTGAGGGGGTCAGGCCCGGTTCCTCCTGGACGGTGTGTGGCCCTCCTGGAGTGGACACAAGGCGGCCTTTAGGCTCCCGTGCGGGGTGCTCTTCGACCAGGGGCATCTCCTCTGTCACGGGGTGGCCCTGACCTCCCTCCCTGCCCCCATGGCCATGCTGGCGGCGTGTACAGCGGTCAGCACCCGTCGGCCATGACCTGGGCAGGTCACGTTGCCTTTCTGCACCTCGGCCTTCTTCCCCGATGGTGGGACGGCAGGAGCCCCACAGGACCGGGGGTCCCACCCACGGGGCAGGAGCTGGCAGAGCCCCTGAACGGGCAGTGGTCCCACAGTCAGGGGCAGGGTCTGGGGTGCTGTGTCCTGAGGCAGCATGAAAGCTCCGAGGGCCCACCCTTGGCCCAGCAGGACCCTGGAGCCTGTGGGCCCAGCGGGGAGGGGCTCCAGCCCCACGGGCCATCTTGGGACAGGACGGACCCTCCCCGGGGAGGCTGCTCTGGTCCCATGGGTGGGGTGACCTGGGGAGACTTCCAGGAAGGGCTGGGACTTCAGACAGTCTGGGCTGAGGATGGTTGTCCCACCAGGGCTGACGGACCGAGGCTGGGTGGCCCTGATTTCATCACCGGCCCTGAGTGGCCGCCCCTCCCGCCGTCCAACCCTCTGTGTCTCAGCCTCAGTCAGCGGCTCCACCCCAACCCTGGCGGGAGCGGCCCAGCACGCTGCCCCCGTCCCTCCCAGCACCGGGCTCCTGGTGTGCGCGCTGGGACAGGGCGGGCTCTCACCATCTGGGAGACGCGGCGGCGCGTGCCCGGAGCTGGTGAGGACTGGGCACTCCGCTTAGTGGAAACCGCACCGCAGGGCCGGCTGCAGACCTCGGGCTCAGGGCACCTGTGCGCCTGCTGCACGCTCCCGGCCCGGGGCGGCGCGGCCAGTGGGCGCGGTCAGCAGGCATGGTCAGCAGGCCCGCCCGCCCCACGGGGAGGTGTTTTTTGCCACGTCCCGCCTGGAGGCTCCGGGGAGCCACCTTCGGGGCCTCCGGTTGTGGCGGTCTCGGGGCTGAGGTCCATTTCGATGTGTGTGGGAGGGGGCGCAGCCATGAGAGGCCGACCAGCGCTGGGCCTGCCGGCCCCCTGGGGGACCCCCACCTGCGCATTCACCTACATTTGAACTCTGACTTCAGGGAGGGCTTGGTCCTTCAGGGGCTCTGACCAGGCCAAGCCCCCTGGTGCTCAAGGCAGGGCCAGCCAGGTGTCCCCCCCAGGGGACAGGAGTCCTGGCGCCGTGGGCTCTGCTGCTGTTCCTCTGGGCCTCGGAACCCCAGCAGGCAGCGTCATTCTCGTTCCCCGGGCAGGAAAACTGAGGCCCAAGGTCACACGAGGAGCAAAGTGGGGCCTGACCTCAGATGCTGGGGGCCTGCTCAGTGGGTGTTTCCCTTTTTGCCTTGGCTGGCAGGAAGCTCGGAGCCAACCTCACAGACATGCACAACGGAAGCACATCTCCTGACGAGAACGCGTGTGTCCACCGCGCCTCTGGCCGCCCGCTCTCTCTCTAGCACTCTTCGGCTTCACTCTGCTTCTCTCCCTTCTTCGTTCTCGTGTGTAAAAAGCCGCAAGTATTTGGGGGTGGCTGTAAAGACAAATGAACTAAGGATAAGTTTAGACAAATAGAATATTTGTTGGGGAACACTAAGGGACACAGGGGAGCCTGACACACCAGCAAAAGGCCCGGAAGCCCACGCGGAGGGCTCGGCATGCCCCCCACCCCCACCCCGGCGCCAGGAGGAGCCTGGACCTGGGCCCGGAGGCGTCCTCGCTCACGGGCGGGCAGGCGGGGCGGGCAGGCGGGGCGGGCAGGCGGGGGCACCTGGCAGCGCATCCTGGTTTGCAGAACCAGAGGCAGGAAGAAGGGCCAGCAGCAGGGGGCGCTGCCTCCCCCACAGCTGGACACCGATTCCCTCTGGGCCTGTGCCAGCCCCACTGCCTGCAGCCGGCGAGCCCTGCCTGCCCACTCAGGGGGATCATGGCGTCCCCAAGACGGCGCCCGGCTTCCGACTGAGAAGGGGGGCTAGGTGTGTTCCTTCACCCTGGGCCGCAGCTTCCCCATCGCACAAGGCTGCAAAGGTCAGAGACCCTTGGGGACAGTGTGGCCCAAGAGGAGGGACTGAACCCACCCGGGGACCTCGCTCTTCCCACACCTCCTGCGGGGATCTCAGCAGTGCCCCCCCCCCGCCAGCAGCACCCCGCCAGGCCTCGGGACGGCTGCGCGAGCGATGCGGGGAGGGCACCAGCAGCCTCGGCCCAAGGAGCGGCGGAGAGGCCGCCTGGCCCCGTGAGGGTGGGCTCCGCCCCGCGGCAGCTCTGAGACTCAGCGTCCCCTCTGCAGGGAAGGCGTAGAAGAGTGAGCTCCTTCCCTTCCCAGATCGCTGCTGTTCCTCGCGGGCGCCCAGCCACAGACTGCTCGGCCGGGCGCCCCAGGTGTGTCCCCAAGACTGCCTGGCTCAGGCTGCCCCACAAAGTCCTGAGTCCCCAGGTGCTGGGAGCCTCAGGGTGGGACCCAGCCCCACCCAGCCCCACCCAGCCCCACCCAGCTCCCTGTGCATCCTCTGGACCAGAGCTTCCTACCCTGGGCTCCGTAGACGTGGATGGAAACCACCTTTATTTTCACGAGCAGCCCCCGCGCCGCTCTGGTGAAGGGGCCCAGCCCCCGTGGCCCCGTCTGGAGAGGGCAGGGGTCTCCGTCCGGCCCACGGCCCCGGTGCCAGCTCCCACAGGCCGCGGGGCATCCGATGTGCCACCGAGGAGCCGTGTGGCCGGCACGTGTGCTGTTCCGCGTGTTGTACGCACTCACTTTAACCTCCCGGCTGCCCCTGCAGGCTCTCCAGACAGCACCAGGCCTCAGGGGCTCCCCACAGTGGAGACCCCAGCTCTGGGTTCGCTCCCGAGCCGTCCTCTGCTGCCCGAGGCCTCTGGTTTGCTTTTGCTTCCAGAGCCTTTGGCCAGGGGCACCAGCCAGACCCCACCCCACATGCACCCCGTCCCTCCTCAGCCCCTCCCTCCAAGGGGCCCTGCATCCTCCTGTGACTCAGGGTGGGACCAGAGTCTGAAGAGGCCCCTCAAGCGAACCTGCCCCATGAGCCGGGGGTGGGGCGGCTGCCCTTCCTGCAGGCTGACTGTGTGCCCAGCCCGGCTCCAGCGCTCCCCCTGCGTCTCCGCACCCAGACACCCTGATGGGCAGGGCCGCCTTCCCCTCTGCTGGGGAGAGAGAGGACAGCTCCCCTCCACGGGGCTGGAGGGTCACGGGCAGGAACCGGACAGACCTGTGCAGCCGGCCAGCCCTCCTGGCCCTGGAGGGGGAGGCATGGGACACCCCCTCAAAGTAGTCCTCCTGCTGGGTAGCCAGGGGGGGACACCCTCACCTCTGGGGTGCACTGATCGCATCAGGGTGCGGCTGAGAGGCCCTGGAGGGCAGGGACGGGAGGCCCTGGGGGCGAGGCGCTGGGGACTGGGGGGGGGGGGAGGCCAGGGGAGTCGGTTTCTGTGGGGTGGGGGGTCGCTCATCTCTCCGCCCAGAGGGGCCCCCGCCCCGCCCCCTCCCGGCTCTTCCAGCGGGTTCCCAGGCCCTCCGGGTGGGTCCGGGCGCGCGGCCGGGCGGGGGCCTGCTGGGGCCGCCCCCTTTCGGGAGGGCGGACGGGCGGGCGGGGCCGCGCCCTTAAAAGCAGCGGGCGCTGCCCGCGGACCGTCCCGCGGAGGAGCCCCTCCGCCCAGCCCGGCCGCCCGCCCGCCGGAGCCCCCGCGCCCCGCGCCCCGCGCGCCCGCGCCCCCCGCCATGCCGGCGCGCGCGCTGCTGCTGCTGGCCGCGCTCTGGGCGCTGGCCCCGGCCCCGGCCCCGGCCCGCCCGCCCGCGGCGGCCGCCTGCCCCGCCCGCTGCGACGTGTCGCGCTGCCCCGGCCCGCGCTGCCCGGGCGGCTACGCGCCCGACGCCTGCGGCTGCTGCCTGGTGTGCGCGGCGCGCGAGGGCGAGCGCTGCGGCGGGGCCCGGGACGCGCCGTGCGGGGACGGCCTGGAGTGCGCGCGGGGCGCCTGCCGCTGCCGCTGGGCGCAGCCCGTGTGCGGCTCCGACGGCCGCACCTACGCCAGCGCGTGCGCCCTGCTGGACGCCGGCCCGCCCGTGCGCCTGCTGCAGAGGGGCGCCTGCCCGGCGGGTAAGGGGCGCGGGGCGCGGGGCCGCGCGGGGCGGGGGCCGCCGGAGCCCGCTCCCAGCACGGTCCTCTCCGAGAGGGACACAGAGGCCCGGAGCGGCCGACGCGGACCCCGAGGTCCGGGGAGTCTCGGGGGAAGGGGCGCCCCGCGGCCTCTGCCCCTCCCGCCTGGGTCCCGCCCGCCCCGCCGGGGCTGCGGGGCGCGGGGAGGGCGCGGGGCGCGGGGCGAAGTCCGTCCTGGCCTCTCCCTTGCTGGCTGCAGGGACTGGGGCTCCAGCTGCCCTGCTGAGCCGCCCGTGGGGGCCCAGGCTCGGGACGGGCCTCGCGTCCCTCAGCCCCCCACGTGGAGCCGGCTCTTGACGGCCTCTGGCCCCGCGCTTGACCTCGCACCTGGAAAAGGTTGCCAGAGCCCTGCTGTCCCCCTGTTTGTGGGGGCCTCTCAGGAAGCCCCTCTGGCCATGGTGCTCCAGGCCCCAGGAGCCCATCAGGGCCCCCAATTCACAGGGGCAGCCAGGCCCCAGGGGCACCCTCAGCCCCAGGGAGGCACACACAGCCCCCTCTGAGCCCCCAGGGGAGCACAGCCCCCAGCCGCCCAGGCAGCCTTAGGGTGAGGGGCGTGCACCCGGGGCACAAGTCTCCCGCAGCCAGGGGGCATTGGGGTGGGGAGCCCGGGGAGCACCTTGCGGCGCCGGGGAGCTGCTGGGGAGGAGCAGAGCCCAGAGCGGTGGGGTGCGCGGGCACGTGTGTGCGTTAGACGCCGGCACTGGGCGGGTCTCCCTGGAGGGGCCGTGAGTGGCCGGTGTCTTGCCCACGGCTTAGACTGCATCCTCCCAGGCTCCCCCGGCCGTGTCTGGGGTTCTGCGGGAAAGCGTCCCCATGCAGGGACCCCGGTGGGGTCCCGAAAAGGAAACCACAGAGCAATGAAGCCGGGTTTCCCGGGAACAGGTCAGCAGAGTGCACCCCGGAGCCGGGTGACCCTGCACCCTGGGGCTCCAGGGCCCAGCTCGGGAAGCTCTGTGCGGGCCCCTGGCAGCTTCAGGAAACACGAGGCTCCAGGTTGTGCCCAGGAGACCGGGATGGCAGCAGGCCCCTCCGTGGCTCTTAGGGAGACCCCTGGGCCGCCCGTCCGGTCTGGGGCACGGTGTTGGGGGCTCAGGCTGTGATGAGGGTTGCGAGGCGGAGGGCTCGGGGGCGGGGGGCTGGCGCGTGGTGGACACTGTCAGAGTAAGGCTCCGGCGCTGGGCGTGCGGGGAGGGCGGAGCGGTCCAGCCGCTGGAACCTTTGTCCTCGCCGGCCGAGCCCGCATCTCTGAGGGGCCGTCTCTCCGGGTCCAGCCGTGGCAATGAGGCCTGTGCGCGCCTGCAGGAGAATCGGACCTCAAGGGACACCCTGAGCAGGGTGGGGAGAGGGGATCAGCTGGCTGGACAGCGGGGTACGGGCGCCTCCCGGAGAACCGCGCGGGGACTCACCAGCCAGGACGCGCCCCTCACGTGTGTTATGAGGGTGGATCCCCCGCTGCCACTTCACTGCGTTCATTGGCCGGGGTGGGGGCCGAGCAGGGAGCGGGCAGGGGTCTCCCTCCGGAAGGATGGGGCGGGCGGTACAGGGGCAGAACGCAGGGCTCACAGGTGCGGGCCCCCAAGCCCTGCGGCTGCCCAGAGATAGGGTGGGGAGCCCCGGGGTGTGGGGGCGGCCGAGGGTCCTGGTGGTTGTGTGGCCAGGGTCTCGCCTTGGGGCCCGTGACTGTGTCCCAAGCACAGGGACCCTCATGCAGAATCCGGTCCCTGCAGGACACGGTCACCCTGGTCTCTGCGAGCCGGGCCCCTCCTGCACCAGAGGAGCCCTGTGCCGGGAAGGCCAGCGGGTAGGCTGAGACCACGTGGCCAGGAAGTGACCCAGCCAGGCCCTCCCAGTCTGGCTGCTCCCCCTGCTGCCCCGCCCCTGCGCTCCTCTGCCCCAGTGGGGGCAACAGGCCCGAGGTCTGGAGTGGGGTCAGGCCGGGGGCCAGTGTCCTGGAGTGCGGTGGCCACGTGCCCCCCCCTTCCCTGGGCCTGGCCAGGTGTCCCCGTGAGGCGCGTGCGTGGGCAGGGGTCAGGCGCTGCCCCCTCCAGCATTTCTGTTCAGCGGGTGGTCCCCTCCCTGGACTGCCATGCACCCCTCTGGGTGGGGTCCGGGCGGAGCCTCCAGGCCTGTCTCCCTCCTCAAGCCTCCTCCTCCTCCTGCCCTTCCGCCTGGACGCTCTCCGCGGTCCCTTCTGAGCCCAGGGGAGCTGCTCATTTCCTGCCTGCACGCCAGCGCTGGTGACCCACTCGGCTGGAGTCTGTGAGCCGGCTGGCCGTGGTCCCAACCGAGAGGGCCACCCCACAGGGAGCTGAGGCCAGACGTCTGTTACCCTTAGCCACGCCCGCCCTGCCAGCCCTTCCTCGGCCCTCGCCTCCCCACCCAGCCTTGCTCCTGATCGCCCAGGACTCTGACCTCCACTGACCTCCCGCCTCCCTGTCTTTGTCCCTCCCCACGTGGCCAGGGTGACTGTGAAATTCATCCTGCCTGTCCCCTTGGCAGCTCCCTGACCCACAGGCACTGTGCCATCCGAGCCCCCACCCCCAGCCCTCAGCTCCCGGGTGCCAGCCAAGAGGCTGTGCTCCCCACCCACCCCAGGGCCTTTGCACCTGCAGGCTGGTGAGCCCCATCGTCCACCCTCCCATGGCCGCGCTCCTCCGCCTCGGCCTGGGCGTCCCCTGCCAGAGCCGTGTCCCTCTCCTTTGCCGCCTGAGCGCAGCCTGGGTCACCCCACCTGCCTGTGCGATCTCCATCCTGACCAGGCTCAGAGCCCCCTGGCGCAGCCGCCTGGGCTGTTCACTCCCCAGGCCTCATCCCGCACGGCGCGCACAGTAGGTGCTGTGGAGCGGGGGCTGGGCAACCCGGGCGAGGGCTCCTGTGGCCCTCTGGCCCCAGCTCCCAGGTCAGCAGAGCTACTGCGTGGGCTGGGCCGATCTCAGAGACCGAGGGGCCTGTGTTCCGGAAGGCGAGGGGGGCTCCTGCAGCCTCCCGCCCGGCGGCCGGCGGGCTCAGCCGGCGCGGGGGCAGCGCTAGGCAGGCCGCAGCGTGGCGTGGAGGTTCTGACAGCTTCACAGCTTTGTTTACTTCAGAGCTTCGGTTGCTTTTGATTTCTAATCCTGTTAGCACGTCCTGGGGCTGCGCGTCTTGGCACTGGCTCCGGGGTCATTTGGCAAGATGACACTTCCCCTGCCGCCCCGCCCGCCCGCCCGCCCGCCCGCCCGGACAGCAGGCTAGCTGCCACATCTGGTGGCTCTTGAGGACGGGTGGGGCGGCCTTTGCGCCCAGCCTAGCCCCAGGGCTCCGCCAGAGGGAAGCTGGACTAGGGCACCCACTGTCCTTTCCTCCTGGGCTTGCCCCCCACGCCCTGCCTGCTGCCTCCCAGCCGGGAACTGAGGCAGATATGTCACAACAGCCCCCTGGGCTGGCTGGCCGGGGCCTCCACCCTTCTCTGAACCTCCGCACGGTGGCCAGAGGGGGCGCTGTAAACTCAGCTGGACCCTTTAAAGCCCAGCCATGGTTCCCACTGCCTTCAGGACGAACCCAAATACCTGGTGAGGCCCCCAGGCTCCGTGTGATGTGGCCTCTGCTTCCTGCCCACCATCTCTGCCTCCAGCCTGTGCCGGGAGGGAGATGATGATGTGGAGCAGAGATGAAGGAGAAACCACCTCCGGCGCTGTGCGGGGTCGATCAGGGGGACTTCCTGGAGGAGGTGGCATATAAACAGCTGCGCGAATGGCCGGGAGACGTGGGTCCAAAGATAGTCTATGCAGAGGAGGACACAGGAAATGCTGAGCACAGACCCCCCCACGCCCGCCCCAGCACACGGGGAGCTGAGCACAGACTGAGGCTCAGTTCTGTCCCCCACACCCCACTGCACAGGGGTGAGCCCAGCCCTGGCACGTCCCATGGTGAGGCCCTGCCGGTTTCCTAAGCTCTCTGCCCTCACTTCCCCCGTCTATAAAATGGGGGTGGCGGTGGACCCTCCTCCCTGGGGCGCTGGACAATCAACGGGAAATGACTTAAAAGCACTCTGCACAGGGTGGGGCCAGCAGATGTGCAGGCGAACACAACTGAAGATCGGCTCGTGGGCCCTCTGCACGCCCCCGGAGTCTGGAAGTGTGAAGGCGAACTGGTGGAGGAAGGGAAGGAGCCGGAAGGCAGCGTTGTGGGGAGGCTGCCCCTGCCGGGCCCTGGCTTCGTGTAGGCCCCACTGCAGGACTCAGCTGAGCCCAGGCAACCCCAACTGCTGGGTTAGTCCAGGCAGGAAGGGCTTCCCGGGAGAGGTGGCCGGCAGGGCCGCCTTGGCTTCATGAGCAATGAGGAGCCCTGTCCGGCCTGCAGGACCCTCTTGACAAAGCGTGAGCCTCCTCCATAAGGCTGCAGCCCCCATGGAATGTCACCGCCAGAGAAGCCGGGGGACCCGCAGCCCAGGTCCTGCCAAGGCTGGGCTCTCCTGCAGATGGCCGCTGGCCGAAGTCCGTCGTGGAGTCGGGAGGGCCTGGGGTGGGAGGCCCAGCGAGCTGGCTGTGGGCCTTGCGCGGGTCTTTTGCCATCGCTGAGCCTTTCTCCTCCGCTTAAAATGGGCTAAGACCCCACCTCGCCAGAGGGACTCAAGAGTTCGATGCCATCCCAGACCCGCTGGGCGTGATCGCGCATGGGGGGACAACTCCAGGCCCTGGCTGCACCCCTCCCTGCATTCCAGGGACAGGAGCGGGGCACCAGGGTCGCAGACAGCAGCACCCTTCCCCTGGGACGCTTGGGGCCTGGAGCTGTGTCGTGGCAGCGGAGGGGCGGAGCCGGTCCACTCTGGGACAGACGGAGAAAGACACAGGGAGCTGTCCTGGGAACCAGTGAGACCCCGAAGCGGCTCTGGGGCTCCAGAGCCTGCCCCTGGGGGGCCCTGGGGCAGGAGGACATCTGTGCCCTTGTTCTTTCCTTGCCCCCCTACACTCCCTGCTCAGCGTGTGGGGCAGGCCGGCCAGGCGGGTGGCCAGGGCTCGGACAGCCAGTGCCCCGCGGAGTGACGGGCTCAGGACCCAGAGGGGCCAGGTCAGGGCGGGTTCCCGGGGGTGGGAGGGATTGCTGGCAGAGGGAATGGACTGTGCAGAGGCCCTGCACACTGAGAGGCGCAGCGAGTCAGAGCCGCTGAGAGGCACGGCAGGCCTGAGCGGAGCCTGAGCGCCCTGCTGAGGGGTCGCCATTTTGTTTGCGGGCCATGGCCGGCGTCATGCACAGCTGGGCACAGCTGGGGCCCCATGTCTTCCGCTGACGGTACCTCCACTGGGCTCAGAGCCAGCTCCTGGGGGAAGCAGCGTGTGCGTGTTGGGGGGAGATTCTCTGAGTACCAGGCAATGGAAGAGTGAGTGGACAGGAACTGGCCTCCGTCTTGGCTCTGCCCATCCGCGCGCAGGAGGGCAGGTTGTGCACTGCGCAACTCAGTCACACTGACGGGTCAGGGGCCGTCCTGGACTTGTGTGTCCCCGTGCAGCAGGACACAGCAGCCCCGGGGACGTCGGGGCCGTGGCGCTGCCGCTCCGGGCCTTGGTTTCCCCGGGGCCTGTGACGGCCGGGAGTGCTGAGCCGGCACATAGCAAGTCCCGCCCGGGCCGCGCCCCCTCCGCCCAGGGGCTCTGCCGTGGGATCGTTGGCGCCGCAGCCCGAGTCCTGCTGCCCCTCCCGTCCCGGAGCCGGCCTGGACACCTGGCTTCGGTCGCGTTGCTGTCGGCTTCCTCCTGCGGAAGGCGTCCAAGGCCTGTGGATAACAGTTTATTTTTGAAAACAAACAAAAAAACGCGAACAGCTGAATGTGGTCGAGACTGACTGCTGACTTCAGAACTTTGGCGCGAGGACAGGGTGGGGGTTGTCAAACCCACATAAACAGCCTGCTTCCCAGCCGCCCGCGGTTCTCGTGTGGAAAGGTTTCCATGCGGTGGGAACCCAGGCCTCCCTTCCCACTGATTCATGGGGTGACTCATCGGTGTGTGGGGAGGCGGACTAGGAAGCGGCCCTGCGCTGCCCCCCGCCCCCTCCCCACCAGCCACCACGGTCGGCTTAAAGGGACAGGCCTGGCGGAGCCAGAGCGGCCGCGGGGTTCTAGGCCCTGGGCTCCGGGAGGGCGCAAGGGCCAGAGTCTCAGGACCGGGGACCAGCGCGAGGCCGGCAGGCGCCCCAGAGGATATTTGCCCCCAGCCTCAGTTTCCTAGGACATAAAACGGGCCACAGATGCTGTTCTGGGGAGGCTGTTCCTGGTTAACAGCTGAAAAAGGTTCTTTGCGGTGTAGACCTACTATGTGCTGGGTCAGCGAGGGTCCTCCCCTGCCCTTGGTCCTCTCTCCAACCTCCCTGGCTGCCGCCCCGACAGCCGGGACACACAGGTTCCACGTGGTGCCTGTCTCTGGAGGGGCCGGGGCTGAGGGGTCCGGGCCAGCCCCCGCTGACGGCAGCAGAAAGCTGAACCAGTGAGGGTTGCACGGGGGTCAACAACCGTCTGGCAAGTGGGACTGGCCGACGTGACCATTGACGGGACTGCATGGTGGCCAGGCCGGAGGCAGCTCAGGGGGCTGACCAGGGGGTCCTGCTGGGCCCTGCCTGGTCTCTGTACTAGCCCAAGGCCTGCAGGGACCAGCCGGAGCGGGGTGGGGTGGGGGCCTCGTGCTGGGCGCTGTTGCCCTGGAAGGCCGAGGCGGGAACCCAGGTCCAGCATCACCGCTCTGCAGCCCGGGGCAAGCACCTGACCTCTCTGAGCCTCCCAACGGCCTGAGGGGCCAAGGGGGTGCTGCGAGGCCATTTCACAGTGACCGTCCTTGGGGTGAGCAAGTCCCCCTTCCCTGATGGTGGTGATTGGGGGCTCTGAACACGGTGGGCGCCTCCTCCCCGGGCGCCTGGGCCGCGTTGGGCCCCACTGACGCGCCTGGTTCTCCTGCCAGTGCAGGTCTTCACCAGCTGACCAGCCCGCGGTACAGGTTCAACTTCATCGCGGACGTGGTGGAGAAGATCGCGCCGGCCGTGGTGCACATCGAGCTGTTCCTGAGGTGAGAGCGCGCCGGCCCGCGCCCTCCGTCCACAGGCACCCTCGCCCCGACCTCCCTCCCTGCCCTGGGCCCTTGGTCGCCCCGAGTCTGGCCCCAGGCCCCACAGGGCTGTGGTGCGCAGGAGGCTGGCAGCCATGGTCTCCCCGCTGCCGTCCGGGGCACGGCCGGCTCCCCTGGAATCCTGGGGTCTCCTCCCTGACAGCGTGACTGTCAGCGTACTTTCTCAGATGGGGCCCGGGCGGAACCCCACTCCGCCTGATAGGGATCAGCCGCCACTGCACGGTGCCGGCGCGGCCAGCGTGGACAGTCACCGGGCCCCCGGCCACCCCCAGGACCTTGTTTGTTTTCGCTGCCCTTTCCCTGAGGCCGTCCGGGCCAGGGCACCCACACCCGGGCACAGGGGACCAACTGGCCCAGGGTGCCTGATGGCTGGCCTCGGCAGAGACCCTGCCTGGGGGGCACCCATGTCCCTGGGCGCCCCTGCCCCCTCCACCCCCGGGAGGGCAGAGACAGCGCCTGCCCCGAGGCCGCCCCCGCCTGTGGGGCCGGGAAGGGAGACGTTCATGTTCTCGTTTCTGGATGAGGACATGGGGGCCCGGGCTGCCCGATCCCCCACGCAGAGCTCCTGAGCCGAGCAGGGCTTCCTGGCCCCGGAGCTGAGCCCGACCCTCAGCAGCACGCTGACCCCCCGCTGCCCTCCCCGCCCGGGCCCGAGACCTGCCATTGAGGAAATTACAGCTGGACGTGCTAAGTGGCAGCCGGGTCTGGCAGGCGCTCGGGCTCCAGGAGGCCCCGGGCGCCGGCCTAGCCTGCTGATTGCGGGCTGCAGCTGGACGGGCTCCACGCGGTGTCACCTGCTGCGCAGCCCGGGCCCAGCGGGCGGGTACGGGGCGGAGGCGGCGACACCCCAGACGCAGACAAGATGACCATCAGGCCAGAGCTGCCGACCGTGACCCTGACCAGTGAGGCGGCCCAGGGCAGCCTCGGGCCCCTTCTGCAGACGGACCTGTGACACGTCCTGTCTCTTGCTCGGAGCCCGGCCCTCAGCCCCTTCTCTCGCTCGCCTCTGCTGAGCACCGTCAGGGCCGAGCGGGCACCGGCCCTGCCCTGGAGAAGGTCCTGATCGGCCCTGTGTCCGTGGCCTCCTCCCCCGCCCTGGGCGCTGGCCGGGCACAGCCACTGTCACCCGCCAGCGAGCACCGACCTGGCCCGGGCCCCACTCCCAGAGGCAGACACCGAGGCCGGCATCTCGCTGTGTCGGACGGCCTGGGCCTTCGAGCCCCACGTCTGGGGAGGCCGTGGCTGGGGTGGGCCTCCCTGGCCAGAGCCCGGCTGGGCACCCCTCCTGCAGCATTTGGGCCCAGGAGGCACCTGAGGGTCAGGGAGCCCGCCCCACACTCACCCTGCCGCGCCCTGTGCTCACCCCCACAGACACCCCCTGTTCGGCCGCAACTTGCCCCTGTCCAGCGGCTCGGGCTTCATCGTGTCGGAGGACGGCTTGATCGTGACCAACGCGCATGTGGTGTCCAGCTCCAGACCCGCCTCGGGCCGCCAGCAGCTCAAGGTGCAGCTGCAGAGCGGCGACTCCTACGAGGCCACCATCAAGGACATCGACAAGAAGGCGGACATCGCCACCATCAAGATCCACCCCAAAGTGAGCAGCTGGGAGCGCCTCTGGGCTCTGGAGAGGCAGGGCCAGGCCAGGCCGGCCCCAGCTTGACCCCCACCCTGCTCCCTGAGCCGCCGGGTGGGGCAGACCAGGAAATGGGCCTCCGTCTTCCCTCCCTAGGGGGCCCCCCAACACCCACCTGGGGATGCACTTGTCCCTGGGGGGGTGATAGTGGCCACTGGAGAGAACTTAGGACACAGACATGGCCCACCCCAGCAGACAGACGCCCGCGGGCTCTGGGTGTGGGTGACGGACATGGGGACGGTGGCCTCTCCTGGGCCTAGGTTGCCCCGTGTGTCTATATTGGGGGGGCAGGGACTAGCCGGAGGACTGTAAGCCAGTGCGCTGTCCCAGCTGGCCGCAGGGCTGCCGAGGCCTGGGGGGGAGGGGGGCGTCCGCAGCTCCTCTCGGGTTTTCAGAGGGACCTGAAGCTCGGTGGCCCTGGAGGCCGTGCCCAGCTGGGCCCTCTGCGTCCCCCCAAGCCGGAGTGGAGCTGTCCCGGCGTCTGTTGCTCCCCCCGCTCAGCTGAGCCAGCATTGAAGACCCGGGCCTCCCCCTCGCTCCGCCCGCTCCTCCTGCCTGTCTGCCACACTCGGGCCCAGACGGGCTCCTCCCCCCCAAAGACTGAGCCCTGTCACTGTCCTCCCCCCACAGAAAAAGCTGCCGGCGCTGCTGCTGGGCCACTCCACTGACCTGCGGCCCGGGGAATTTGTGGTGGCCATCGGCAGCCCCTTCGCCCTGCAGAACACTGTGACCACGGGCATCGTCAGCACCACCCAGCGGGACGGCCGGGAGCTGGGGCTGCGGGACTCGGACATGGACTACATCCAGACGGACGCCATCATCAACGTGAGTCCGCCGCCTCGCGCGCCCAGACCGCGCTTTCTTTGCCTGGAGTGGCGCCCTGGACCTGGACGCTGCCCCCCAGGCTCCAGGCTGCCGCCCTGCGAGGGCCCCACGTGGCGCCAGCCTCTGGGTCTGCCCGCTCGGGTACTTTGCGGGAGGCCGTGTCTGCAGGAGCCCCTGGGCGCGGGCGGGTGGCTGGGAAGCAGGGCCTCGTGCACCCAGGGCTCGCCGCTGCCACCGCGGTCAGCCACGTGGGGGGTGCCTGGGGGGCGCCTGCGGGGAGCAGAGGCCGGGCCATACCGGCCCTCAGACACCGTCCACTCAGCCTCTGTGCCCTCGGTTTCCTGTCCGTGAAATGGGGGTCGGCGAAGGTTTCCACACTGCGGGGTGCCGGTCCAGGCGGTCCCAGGCTGGGAAGCAGGCACCGGCGGGGCTCCCGGCCCAGCTCACGCCCCTTTCCTCCCCTGCAGTACGGGAACTCCGGGGGACCACTGGTGAACCTGGTAAGTGTCCCCAGAGCGGGGCTGCTCACACAGGCAAGGGGAGGGGCTGGGACGAGACCCTGGGCCCCCAGGGACACCGGTGCCAGCCAAGGAGTAAGCCGGGCACCCGGAGCCATCTCCCCGCGGGGCCACGTGCCAGTGGACACTGAGCCAGGCATCACCCCTCTGGGGTTGCCGTCCTCACCTTTACATGCAAATGAGACAGGGCCCCTTCCCTCCCCCATCGAACTCTGCAAGTCAGGCTCTTCCTCATCCTCCTCATCCGGGTGAGGTTTTTTCCAGAATAAGTCAGGAAATGCAGCCCAGGTCCCTTGGGGTCCCTGCAGGGGGGACAGTGGTGCCCCGTGGAGCTCTCTGGAGGGGCAAGGCCCTAGGAGGCTGCAGTGGACCAGGGAGGGCTTCCTGGAGGCGGAGCATCTGTCCTGGTTCAGGGGAGGGGGCACGGGCGCCTCAGCCCAGAGGCCCACGGAGGGGCGGGGTCGGGGAGGCCAGGTGCCAGACAGTGCGAGGAGGCTGGTGGCCCCTGTCCAGCAGGTGGACGCTGCCTGCACCCCAGACTCGCCGCAGGTTCCCGCAGGGCCAGCCCTTCCCACGGGCTCTCAGGAAAACTCCTAACAGGCTTCCGACTGGAGGCCAGGAGCCCATGGGGAAGGGCAAACAGGGTCGCCCTAGGTCCCCCAAGTCCTCTGCAGGGGACCCCCACCTCACAAGCCCAGCAGGGCCAGGCAGTGCCAGGCGCGGGGACCAGACAAAATGTGTCTTGATCCAAAGCTCTGCCTGGGCCCCAGCGGGCCCCTGGAGGCCTCCAGGCCTTGGCCCCAGTGCTGTGCTGACCGCCCCTGGGGTGCCTGGGAAAGCCGGGCTGTGGGGGCTCTTCCGGGAGTGTGTCAGGAGGGGGCGCTGCTGTGGGGCCGATTGTCCAGGGTACCCGCCTCGTGGGGGCCAGCTCCAGAGGGACAGAGAAGCGGGAGGGGCCTGCAGGGTGCTGGGCCCGCCTGCCCACCCTGCTCCCAGAAGGCAGCGCAGGGCCCGGGTCAGCTCTCACGGGCTCGGAGGCTGCTGGTGTCCTGGCCAGCACGCTCGCTCTCGCTGGGCGTGGGCAGCCCCGGGGGTCCCTGGCCCGGACGTGAGCGCTTTCCAGGCCAGCTTGGCGCCCTGGGGGCCCCCGGCCGAGCTGCAGCAGCACTTGCCCCGGTGACCGCTCTCCCCTGCCCAGGACGGCGAGGTCATCGGCATCAACACGCTCAAGGTGGCCGCCGGCATCTCCTTCGCCATCCCCTCCGACCGCATCGCGCGCTTCCTCGCCGAGATCCAGAACAAGCAGGTCAAAGGTAAAGCGCCCCCCAGGCCTGGCTGCCCACGGCCAGGGCTGAGCCCCAGGATTCGGGGTGTGCGCCCCGCCCCATGTCCTGAGACCCCAGGACAGCTCAGCCTCAGCAACTCAGGGCCCCCCCACTTCATGCCCCAGTCCCCTGCCCCCATCCCTTCCCAGCCCGCCCTCCAGCCTCACCCCCTCCAGGGCCCTTCCGGGGCTGCTCCAGGCTGAGTCCTGCTCGCCCCCCGCCCCGTCCCCCGCCTGCCCTCCCTCCCGTCCATCCCTGTCCACCCGCCCCCCTTTCCTTGTTCTTCCTCCCTTCTCCCGCCTCCTGCTCAGCCGCGCTCTGCCCACTGTCCCTCTGTCCTCCCTCCGTCCTCACCTCCTCCCAGCCACCATCCCCGGCCCCTCTGTCCACCCAGCACCCTCTGTCCTTCCTCCCTCCCCGTGCCCAAGCCCACCCCTAGGAGCGCGGCCTCTGCCCAGCTGGCATGAGAGCCCCCCGCAGAGCCGCTTCCTGGGGCGTGGGGCCCTGCCCTGAGCCTCGCTCTGCTCAGCCTCGGCTCCCCCCATCCACCCGGGAGGTGCAGCCGCCCTCGCCTCCGTGGCCACGGGACCCCCCCAGGAGCGGCCCTCCTAGTGCTCCCAGCCCCTCTCCAGGGGAGCGTCCCCCGCTGGCCCCACCTTCCCGCCTTTCCCCTCAGCCCAATGAAGCCCCCCCGCCCGCCGTCCTCCCCCTTGCGCCTGCCTCCCGGTGGACACCCCGACCCGACTCAGGCCTCCGCTCACCTTCAAACTGCTTCCCTGTCTCCCCCCAGCCCCCTCTCCGGCGGCTCGCTGAGAGGAGGGACTGCCCCAGGCTTACCCCTCCTCCACCGCCGGACGGTGTGGCTGAGCCAGGCCGTGCGGACCTGTCACTCGAGGAGCCGCTGTTGAGGGCTGTGCGGTCCCCTCGCGCCCCTGTGAAGAGAGCCTGGAGCCAGGCCGCGCGGCCCGGCCTCAGGAGCTGAAGGCTGCTGCTCGGGGCAGGGCCGCCATCTCACTCCTGAGCCCTTTTCTTCTTGGCTGCCAGGAAGCTCTGAGCTTGACCCAGGGTTGCGCGTTCCTACCTGCCGTATCCATGTCCCTCCTCTGACCGCAGCCCTTCCAGCCTCATCACCCCTGGCGCAGGGGTCTTTTTGGCCTCCTCGCTGGAAACCAGCGGGGCCGCCTCTGGGTAGCTAGAGCTGGGCGCTGACTGTCGGGTGGAAACGACAGCGGCAGCCTCCTCCTCCTCGCCCGGCCTCGTCTCCTCCCTCAGGGCCTGCGGGCGGGGGCGGGTTCGTTCCTTCGCCGCACAGGGTCCCTGTCGTGTGACCCCAGCGCTCTCTGCTGTCCCCGGGGCCGTCCGTCAGCCCCCCAGGACAGCAGGACTGGCCGAAGGACCCAGGGCACCGAGGCAGCGTGGCCAGGCCTGCCGTCCCGAGTTCTCAAGTTCTCGGCGTTTGCTTCTTTGGTAATAAAGAGACCAAGTTCTCCAAAGCCACTCAATCTAAAGTTCTTTAAACAAGGCTTCCTTCTAGGAAAACAGGAGGCGCCAGGGCCCACGTCCTGTCCCCAGGTGCCCACCATGCTGTGGGGGCCTCGGCCTGGGGCCCCAGGAGGGCTTGGGGTTCAGCCGGCCCTCAGATTAGAGTGCGCCCCCCCAGGGGTCGTGTTCCTGGGGCTGAGCTCTGTGACCCCTGGGGACGCCTCCACGCCGCCTCTAGCTGGCATGTGGGGAGCCTTGTTCATCTCCTGGGAACCCAGGAGCCACTGGGGTGGGGGCACTGAACAGAAGGGACCCCAATACTCACTCCCTGGCCTAAGGTCACAGGCAGCCTCGGGAGTCCCCTGCTAGAGTCCTGGATCCTTCCCGAGTAGAAGAGGAAGTGGGAGCAGCAGTGGGGGGCTGGCGGGGGTTGTTATGGGGCCGGGGCCTGACCCTCCTCCAGGGTGCCGAGGCCTTGTGTCCGGGGCGCCTCCTTTCCAGCCCCTTGGGCCGTGATTCCGCTTCGTGTTCCGTCTGCACAGGGCGGGCTCGCGCGGCAGCACACGCCAGGGCGGTGGCAGGATGGGCTGCGGCCTAGGGCCCGGGGCCTGTTTGACCTTGGCACCGAGAGGAATGGCCGAGAGGCGGATGGAGGGTGCCGGGGCCGAGGGGCTGTGGTGACAGGCCCAGGCCCTACTGGGGGCGTTTGCCGGGGTGGGGCGCCCGGGGGGCCAGGCCAGCATGCCCTGACTCAGAAGCCCAGGCGTCGCCCTGGCCGTGGGGTTCGCTGCTTCATTGTGGTGAGACCCACAAACCACAAGCAACCCTTTAAAGGGCGCCACGCTGGTGTACCCAGCCCCAATCTCCCTCTAGACCCAGCACCTGTCCTTCCCCAAAGCACCCACCTTGGCACCCCCCACTTGCAGCTTCATCACCATCCCGAAAGTTCTGGCCTCACGTTGCTCCAAAGTGCTTCCCTGACTTATTTTGAGAGAAACACAGGGGGACTTCCCGCCTCGCCCCGCCGAGTTTCCGGGAGAAACGCGCTTCCCTTGGGGGACTTCTCGGGGCGGCAGAGGCCCCGAGCAGGAGGATTCTGCTGACCTAGAACTCGGCTCGGCCGTGTATGGGCAGCGCCACTGGCTCTGGGGCGGGCTCGGGGGAGGGCCCACAAGCCAGGCCTCGCTGGCTCCCCGCTGCCCGCCAGGGCTCGGCCAGCGCCCACGGGGCCCGGCTCTCTTCCTCCTTGCAGCCTGCCCGTGGGGCTGGGAGCCAAGCTGAGCCTGGCCGGCGCCATGTTGGCTGGGGAGGGCTCCCCCGCCCCTCTGAGGACTCCCCCACCTTGGGTCCCGACACCAGACCTGCCCCCAGCCGCTGCCCCTCGCTGTCTGCTCCGCTCACGAGCTCTGACTCGCATCGCTCTCAGCTTGGCGCTGTTTCCAAGGAACCTTTTCTCGCTTGAGGAGGAAGATGCTCTCCCTCTTCTAGCAGCTCCGCGCCCGAGGTTTTAGACTCAGGGCTATGAAATGGGACGTTTTCATTTGTTTTGTAAGTAGTGCAAGGGCTCCGCCAACCCGCCAAAGTTGCATTGGTTTGCTTTTGGTTTGCTTTTTTTTTTTTTGGCTCTGGACATCCAGTTGCTCTTGGGACATTTGCTGAGCAGACTCAGCCGTCTCCCCTGAATTGCCTCTGCACCTTTGTCAAAAATAAAACAAGTCTGCAGTGTGGTCACACCAGCCCCGCTGGGCCGTGAGTTTTGAGGCAAGCGGCAGCTCCGCCCTCTACCTCCCTCTTCAGCCTCCGCCCCGTCACCCCGTTCCTCTGTGTTTCGTGGGATTTCAGAATCAGCTTGTCCGCTTCTACCTCCAGCAAATAGCTACTGGCGTCGATTGATTGCTTTGGATCGTAGATCAGTTTGAGCAAATTAACCACAATAAAAACGCAGTTTTCCCAAAGCCGGCTCCTCTGACCCCGAGCACCCCCAGATCAAGGTCCGCCTTGATCGCTCTGAGCAGCGGCTTTTGTTTTCGGCGTCCAGGTCCCACTCGCCCTCGGTTCGCGTTATACCCACGTGTTTCATCATCGCGGTGCTGTCATCCACGTCGCTTCAGTTTCAGTGTCTGATGGTTTGCTGGAAAACGCAAAAAAGAGTGACTTTTGCTCGTGAGGATCCTGCACCCCTGACAACTCACTGATGAATCTAGTCGCCTTCCTGCGCCCCACCGGGCTCTCCCCGTGGATGCTCGTGCGGCCTGCAGATGAGGGCGGGGCGGCGTTGCCAGTGTTCACGCCTTTGGTTTTCCTTGCCTGGCTAGCCCCGCCGCGCGCGCTGAGCGGAAGTGGCGAGATGGACCTCCCGGCTAGTTCCCCTCGTGGGAGAAACGTCGGCCTTTCCCCATCAAGCATGATGTTGGCTAAAGGTTTTCCCTGCTTGCCGTCTATCGGGTTGAAAAAGCTCCTTTCACTTCTGTTTTCACTAGGAACGGGGGTGAGGCTTTGTCAGCCGCTTTCTCCGCAGCCGTTGAGGTGATGGTTTTTCTCTCTGTTACCACGGCAAATCGCTGCGGTTGATGTCTGAATGTTAAACCGTCCTTCCCTTCCTGCGTAAACATCACACGGTCCCAATTTGCTAGAAACATGTAAGGAGTTTTGCATCTTTTTATGAGAGGTGATGGTCGGGTCTTCTTTCTAGTTTGACATCACGACAGTGAGTTGAGACTGTTTAGGGAAAGCACTGCTCTGTGTCTCTGTAGGGGCAGGACTGGACACAGGGCAGGTTTTCTGATCCCATGCAGACCGGGTAAAGGAGGCGTCAGAGTCGTCAGTGGTTTTTTGCAGGTCTTTTATTGGGGTTCAGCAGGTACGTGGCAGGCAGGGGTGCTGGGGGGCTGGCAGGCTGGCAGGCCTCCCAGCCCCCAGCAAATCTTCACTCTATCTGGGCTCTCTGGCCTTCTCTGCTTCTGCTTCGGGCTTCTTCTCTTTCGGCTTCTCCTGGCGTCCCCGTGACGCCGCCCTTAAAAGCACAGTCTTAGCGCAGGTGCACCCACTCCAGGTGCCGCCATCAGGCCTGCATTCAGGATCACAGGGTTCCCCCATCTATCCTGATGGCGGGAGGGAGAAAAGCCTGATGTTTTTCCTTACCCTACAGTCTCCTCTGCTTTCCATTTTTTACACAACAGGCTTCGCTTCTGAGACTTCGGCTCACCTAATGTGTGGGTTTCCCCACGCCAGCTGGGTGTGCTACTGTTTAGTTCAGTCCGACACTGGCTACTGGGAGAGCGCTAGACCCGCAGGTCACAGGGTCGGTCCCGCGGGACCCAGGTGTGGTGGTTGTAAACAACAAAAACCCTCTTCACCTGTGCAGCCCGAGCTATTCCAGGAACTTGGAGCAAAAGATGGCAAGACGTGAAACGGGGTGACTCAGCACTTGGGAAGTCACGTTTTAGGAGTCAGGTGCTGGGAACCCCAGCCAAAGACAAAATACTTCTTTATTCTGAAGCACCGTGTCACAGAAGCTCTCCCTTGTTTTTCATTTCTAGGGAGTTTCTGTAGAATGGACCCTGTTCTTCCTTCCACGTTGGGTAGCATTCTCCTGACGGTCCGAGCCTGAAGGTTTTCTTTGTGAAAATGTCAGCGCAGAGATGTTAGACTGGCCAGGTTCTCCATTCCTTTTTGAGGGAGCTTTGGCAGTTTTGGAAATTTCAAGGCCGTCGCCCACGTCCCCCAAGTTGCCGAGTGTATTCACAGCACGTTCCTCCTGAGAGTCTCTTCGCCCCCGTGCCCGCGAGTCTCGCCTTCCCGGCACTGACAACGGTGCCTTTTCTCTTCCTTCCCGGCCAGGCTGGCTAAGGGCGGATCAGTCTTATTGATCTCAAACACCCCGTTGTTTGTTTCATTTATTTTCTTTATGTATTTGTTTCCTATTTCCTTGATTTCTACTCTTGACTCTTCCTCTCGGCTTCTTCCTTTGGGTTTTGGTTCATCTTCTTTCTCCAGCTTTCAGGTGAAGCTGCAGTCTCCCGTCTGAGTGTCTCCCTTGATGGGGGCGCTGGCATCATGGCGCCTCCCTCCGAGTACTGCCGTACCCGGGCCCCACGAGTTTCGGTACGCTGTGTTTTCACTTCAGTTTTAAGTGCTTCCTGCTTCCCTTTATGGTTTCTTCTTGGAATAGGGGTTACTTAGAAATGCAGTATTTATTTTCCAAGTTATGAGGAATTTTCTAGATACTTTTTTTTACTTTAATTCCACTGTGATCAGAAAGCATACTTCCGGTGATAGGCAATTGAAAATCTACTGAGATTCATTGTGTGGTTCGGATTATGGACCTGTTGTTTCTGGCTTTAAGACTCAGCTTAGTCACAGGCCGGCTCGCCGACCAGGGAGTCTGCCCCCAGACACAGGGGGTTCATGGGCACTGTTGATTAATGTTGCTGTCCTTAGTGGGAAGGCGGGGGGATGGACCCGGGCTGCTGGGCACTTGTGAGGGGCTGGAGGCAGGACTCTCCCAACCCCTCAGGAGCAGCCAAGGAGAGAGCAGCTTCAGGCTCCTGACTGCGTGGGCCAGGCCGGTCCACGCGGGACCATCCCTGCTGCTCACCTGTCCGTGTGGACGCTGGTCCCCACCCCCCACTGGCGAATGCAGGTGACCCTGGTGGCTCTAACTGGCCCCGTTCTGTTTGTTTGCAGACTGGAAGAAGCGCTTCATCGGGGTGCGGATGCGGACGATCACGCCCAGGTGAGTGTGAGGGACGCTGCCCGCCCACCTGCGCTCCTGGTGCAGCCCGCGGGGCTCTCGAGTGGGTCACAACAGCCCCTGAGGGCCCTTGCCCCGCTGAGGACAGGTCTCTGTGGCTCCCTCGGGACGCCATTCAGGGGCCCCTCCTCCAGGGGGTTTCCAGGATTCTCTTCCACAATGAATTGCACAAACTTGGTAGCTTAAACCAGCGGAAACCCGTCCTCTCACAGCCTGGAGGGTGGGTGTTCACAGCTAAGAGGTCAGCAGGGCTGGCTCCCGCTGAGGCCTGCAGGGGGGCCACTCCGTGCCCCCCTCAGGCTCCCTACACCTCTGCTCTGCTCGGACTTGCCCTCGGATGCTCTCCCTGCTGTGTGTCTGTGTCCAGACCTCCCCGGGCCCAGGGCCCCCTGCGTTGGGGCAACCTCACCTAGAGACCCCGTCCACAGACACCTTCAAAGGCCCTGTTTCCAGGCAAGGTCACAGTGAGGGTTTGGGGGCACCCTCAAGTGCAAGCGGGTGCACAGTTGGGCTTCCCTCCCCAGTTGTGCACGGGCTGCGGGGCCAGAAGCACTTGTCTGCGCCCACCCCCCGTCTGGACCATGAGCTCCTGGGGCCGGGGCTGGGTCCTGCTCATCCGTGCTCTTTCCCAGGGCCGGGGTACAGCAGGGCGGGCACCCCAAAATGCTGAATGAGTGAAATAAAGTGGAGGGAGGGAGGAACTTGGCAAGTCAATGCAAGGGCCTGAAGGAGGGTGAGGTCACTGCCTCAGGCAGCTCCGGGATAACAAGGCCGGGGAGGCATGACCACACCCCCCACCACGCGTCCCTAGGCCGTCTCGGGCCCAGTTCCCTCAGCTGCTGCTGCAGGGATGACATTTTGAAGGCAATTGTGGTCAGTCCAATAATTATGCCAGCCTCTCCGGAGATGTGTTCTTTTTCATCCATCGTCCGTCCATCCGTCCATCCGTCCATCCATTGCTCATCCGTCCAGCCTTCTGTCTGTCCATTCTCTTTCGCCCGTTGTCTGTTCACATCTCTCATGCTATCTGTCCATTCATCCATCCGTCCATCCATCTGTCCAGTCTCTGTCTATTGCATCATTCACCCACTGTCCGTTTGTCCCTCCTGCCATCTGTCCACTCGCTTATCTCTTGCGCTGTCCGTCCACTTGTCCATCCTTCCCTCCTTGTACCCATCCACACATTCAGTCCATCCATCCTGCTGCTTCCCCCCACCTCCCTCCTCAATACCCCCCACCACGCTCCTGACCCCCCCACCTCTGTCAACCGGGGGTTCTCCTGAGGAGCCCTGTTGAATGGGGGATACAGATGAGATCCAGTGCCACCCCAGAGTGGGCAGCGGCTACCAGGGCAGTGTGGGTGCCCAGCATGGCTTCATGTCTGGCCTGGGTGTGGGGGGGGTCAGCTGCGCACAAACAGCCCATCTGGGGACCCGGAAGTGGCGCCCTAACCGTTGAACTGTCTTCCCAGCTTGGTGGAAGAACTAAGGAACAGCAACCCAGACTTCCCAGCGGTCAGCAGTGGCATTTATGTGCAAGAGGTCGTTCCAAATTCACCTTCCAAGAGGTGGGCCCCGAGCGGCAGCACGGAGGCTGGGTGGGAGCAGCCGGACGTCCTGGCGGGCGCGGGGCCTGAGCTGGCCTGCTCCATGTCCGGATGTGACAGTGAACGTCCCGCGGTGGGAGGTGATGTGGACGTGGGGGCGGGACCCCGGCCTGGCAAGTACGGAGACCAAGCTTCCCTCCAGCTGCAGCCTGCCCGCCCTCACCCCAGGTGTCCTCCCTTCAGGTCTGGGACATGCAGGGGTGGAGCGCCGGCCTGAGCGGAGCCCCTGCTCCAGCCTGCCCCTCTGCAGCCCGAGGGCCTCAGTCTCCTCATCTGCAAAATGGACAGATTCACCTGCGCTTCCTGCCCAGGGAGACTTTGCCAAGATCGAATGAAAAATGTTTTCTTTGAAACTGTCTCTTTCTGGGGAGAGTGGAGGTGGCACCGCTTCCAGGCTGGCATGCTGACCGGTCCCTGGCAGCACTCTGAACAGCCCCTGCTCCCGCAGCCCGGCTCTGTCCGGCGGGGGCTGCATCAGACCAGGGGCTCACGCTGTAACCGGGAGCCAGAGAGGCCACGCTGGCTGGCGCTGCTGGGCAGCTAGGAGGGCGTGAGTGGAGAACACAGGCTCCCGCCCCACATGACCCCTCTAGCCCAGGGCACTCCCCTTCTGATCTGTGCCCCCACCCCCATGCCCTGTGGGAGCAGGGAGCACACCCCTGCCCGCCGCAGCAGGCCAGGCAGAGCTCCTGAGGCCTGGGGCCCGGCAGCCAGACGACAGCCCCAGACTGGGCTGGACGCAGGGTCATGTCCCCTGCTGGTCCCAGGGCCATTGCCAGAGCCGCCGCCCGCAGGCGCAGTGAGCCCAGGAGCAAACACGCGTGAGGCTGGTCCCGGCTGTTTCACTGACAGGGAGACGGGCCTAGTGGTTACCACCCCAGACCACTCAGTGGCACGTGGGGTCAGGTGCCATGGAGCTCCCAGGCCACGCGGCCACCCCCGGGCAGAGGGCAGTCGGCCGGCCAGGAATGGGGGGGACGGCCAGCACCTCTGCTCTCCTGGGGTTGTCCCAGGGACCGCAGGGCCGCAGCGTCAGCCCCAGCCTGCCGCGATTTGCCCAGCACACTCCCGCCTCGGACTGCAGAGCTGGAAACTGAGGCAGGAAGGGGCAGGCTCCTGGGCGGGTGGCCAGCCAGGGAGGCCGCAGGCAGAGAGCCCCAGCCCAGCCCTCGGCGGTGTCCGTGGCGCGTGCTGGGCGGGCCGGGGCCTGTTCCGCAGGGAGGGCCGTGGAAGCAGTTTTGTTCAGCTGCCGCCACTTAGGGTCTGAGCCCAGCTGGGCGGGCGGGCGGGTGCTGACCGTGTCTCTCTGCTGGCAGGGCGGGCATCCAGGACGGCGACGTCATCGTCAAGGTCAACAGCCGCCCGCTGGCCGACTCGAGCGAGCTGCAGGAGGCCGTGCTGACCGAGTCCCCGCTGCTGCTGGAGGTGCGGCGCGGCAACGACGACCTGCTGTTCAGCGTGGCGCCCGAGGTGGTGCTCTGAGCCCCCGGCCCGACGAAGGGCCCCCGCGGTCCTCAGCAGGGCAGCGGCCTCCGCCCGGCCGCCAGGACAGAACCCAGGCAGGACTGGCCTGGCCACCTCTCGGCCTCGGGGGCCCGGGCGCCCACACCCGCCCCGCCAGGGTGGCCGTGCCCCCATGTCTGAAGAGCTGGGGCTCCCGGGGCAGCCTTGCACCTCCCTTCCTCTGCACCAGCGATGCCTCTGCTGAAGGCCGCCACCCCCCCAACCCCCCGCAGCCCCAGCACAGAGCCTGCCATGTTGAGTGACCAGAGCAGGCGCTGAGGACCCTGCGCTGGCAGAGGCTGCCTCCCGGGTGCAAGAAGCCGGCAAGCCTGACGCCCTGGGGCTGAACTGTCCTGCCAGAGCCGGCCTAGGAGTGGCCGCCAGAGGAGGCCGGGGCCGGGCGAGAGGACAAGAACTGAGCCGACTTCCCCGCTGTCCCGACCGAGCTGCCCCGGGGCCGGCCCCTCTCCAGGAGCGTGCAGGAGCGTGTGGCGTGGCCGGCCCCGCCCTGCCACCCCTCTGCTGCGTGGGAAGTAAAGCTGAAGTGACACAGTCCTCGGCCACGGGGCGTTTGTCCGGGGCCCCTCTTGGCGGGAAGCTGGGGACCACAGCGCCGGCGCCACCTCTGCACACCTCCCGCCACCTCGGCCCGCGCGCCCTCCTTGGGCTCCCTGCGTGCAGGGGACACTGACCCCCACAAAGGTGGCCACGGCAAGTCCTGTGGCCATGGGGCTCAATGGGGTGGGGTCAGAGAAAGAGCCTCCCCCATGCCTAGAAGGGTGCAGGCGCCGCCTCCTGCAGCTCTCGGTCCTAGGAGCCTGGTCCATCCTTACGGGTCAGGAGCTCAGTAGCCCCAAACTGACCACCAGGCCCTGCTGGGGCGAGGAGCCCTGGAGAGGCCTCCAGCCCCCACCAGGCTGCAATCCCGCTTCCCGCTGCTGCCCTCCTGCTACCCTCCTGTTCATCCCACTGCCGGCATCTGCAGGAATTCAGGGCCTGGCCCACAGCCCAGCTCACCTCTCAGCTGGCCCCGTCCCTGTGCTCCCGCCAACCTAGAGGCCCTGCCCACTCAGACCTGGTGCCCAAAGGCTGTGCACCCTCCTGGCCTTGCTCTCACCCCCGCAGGCACACACCGCAGCCCTCAGAGCCCAGCCTGCCCCAGTGACTACCCTGGCGGCGCTGGGCAGCCATGTGCTATGCCTGACGGTGAGGAGTCTGGGGTGTCAGCCCGGGACAAGGGCCTGAGAGAGAGAAGAGAGGCAGCAGAGGTCAGCGCTGGCACCATGCTGCTCAGTCAGTGCCCGACATGTCCTCCCAGGGCAAACTGACCCAGCTCTTGCTGAGAGTCCCTTGTGACCCCAGCCGTGCCCCTGGCCTCAGCCTGTCCAGTGTGATGGGGGAGGTGGGGCGTGGGGGTCCCTCAGCCCCCTGGGGGGGCTTGGGCTGAGTTCTGGGCCCTGCACTGCCCAGGCCCCACGCTGGGGCTGCCTTCTGCCGCGCTGGCCCCAGGGGGTGGAGATGGCTCTGCGGTGGAGATCTGGTCCCCTACCCCCGCTTGGCACCCTGCTCTGTCCCTGCGGCCAGAGCTGGCCGCGCCGCTGCTCCAGCTGTGCTCGGGAAAACAACAACTGCCGGCCCGCCGGGGCTGCCAGGGTTGTGCAACCCGCGGGCTCCTGCTGCCAGGTGGGGCTCCCAGCTAGCGGGGTGCTGGTGAGGTGTGTGCTTGCAGAGAGGAGCACCCCGTTCTAGCCGTAGCATCCCCACACACGGGGGCTCCTAGGAGGACAGCCCAAAGGGGCCCTGCTGGTGCCTGTGCCGAGAGCCCCACTGGACAGGGGTGGCAGCAGGCCAGAGAAGGGGAGGACTTGGGGTCACACATGAGCCAGGGCTGCTCCTGACAGCCCTCGGCTGGGTTTGTGCTGACTGCCGTGGCCACGGCTGCTGCAGGACAAACCGCGGCCAGGGCTGGGCTGGCTCCTGTGGGCAGCGCATCTTCCTCCCAGAGCCCCTCCCCGCGCCCCAAGGGTTAGGGGATCGTAACACTAGGGCCAGCGGCGGGAACTCTGGGCTGGCCGAGGCCTCAGGCTGGCACCCCGACCCTGGCCTGAGCGGCACAGGCTCCACATCTGCACCTGGTCGCCCCTCGCGCCGCGTGTCCTGCTCTCGGGACCTCTGGGGTCTCACGCCCCCTCTTCCTCCAGCCCCAACCTTTGTGCAAGCTGCTTCCTAGACCTGGAACCCCACATTCCCCGGCTTCTGCCGCATCCCCCTGACCATCCCCCGTGCCCCATGGCAGGCTGGAACGGCCCAGAGGGGCTCCCATCTTACCCGCGAGCCCGTGACCGTCACGCCGTGGCCGGGGGCCGTGCGGGTGTCTCAGGTGAAGGACCTGCATGAGGGACCCGGGCCGACAGAGCTGGGTGAGGATTGTGAGCATCGGAGAATGAGGACGCAGGAGGCGGGTGGTGAGGGAGGAGCCGGAATACAGGTTTCTAGGAGCGGGAAAAGGCAGGAAAGGGGTTCTCCCCTGGACCCCCGGAGCCAGCCTTGGGGGCCGCCCAGGGAGCCTGACAGGGATTCCAGAACCTCAGAGAATAAACTGTTGTGTCAGGTGCTGAGTCTGTGGGGCTTCAGCAGCCCCAGCCAGCTAGAGCCCTCTCTGCGCCCCACCTCGGGGCCCCGAGCCCAGCCCGGCCCCAGAGTGGCCCTGGAGCCCCATCACCAGGGAGCTCGCTCTTCCTGTGCCCCAGGAGGCAGGCAGCCGCTGAAGTCAGGGCTGGGCCCCCGAGCTGGGCCCAAGCTCAGGTGGCTCTGACCAGGGCCTCCGTCCCCCGCAGGTGGGGACCTGAGAGACATCTGAACTCTGGCGTTCTGGGCCACGCTTGCCTGCGCTCCGCAGCACACCCCGGACTGAGTGCCAGGAAGTGCAGGACGCCCAGGGGTTGGAGGCAGGAGACATCCCTCTTCGCTCAGCCCTACACAGCACCCCCCCCTCGCCCCTCCAGAGTCAGTGCTTCTCTAGGCTCAGGACCCCCTGCGTCTCCCACCTTCTGCCACCGCAGCTGAGACCCCAGCACCACTCGGCCCTGGGCCCACTCCCACAGCACTCACCACACCCCGCCTCGGGGCCTCCCCCACGCCGTCCAGGCCTCTCCTCTGTGTCCTCACACGGTAGACGCAGGAGCGTGCACCCGCCCCCAGGTCTCTGCCCTCTGCCTCCTGGGCCGGCAGCCTGGAGGGGCTGGACCCCCCTGCAAGCCCGAGGCCCCGAGGCCCAACTCCCACGAACCGGGCAGGGAGCTGCAGTGGGACGTGCACACACGGACACGCTCGGAACACGCACGTGTGCACTGACACCGCCCTGTGGGGCGCACGCAGCAGACACCCCCACGGCCAGGCGTGAGGGGCACGCCCAGCGCACAGGACCCTGCGTCCCCGCGGTCCGTCAGCCGTGCTGTTGGCTGAGGTGCTTCCTCACGTTAAGTTTTCAAAACACTCTTGGAGCTTGCGTAGAGCTGGCAGCCCAGAGGTGTTTTCACTGCAAAATCACTTTCGTTGCGACACCAACACTCAGGACAGTGCCCCAACCTGGCAGCTGAGGCGCTGCGGGAAGCTGGCCCAGCCCCGGCTGCAGCGCCCGGCCCTGCCGGCTCCAGCGCCGGGTCAGCCAGACGCTCCCTGGACCTCACACTCCCTGACCACTCGCCGCCAAGCCCGCCACCCGGGCCGCCCGGGCCTCCGGCTCCCGGAATCGGCCCCAGCTCGCGCATGGCCTGCGTGGAGCCAGGGCAGGGGCGGGCAGCAGGAGCGGGCAGGGGCGGGCGGCGCACTGGCTGGTTTGCACCCCAGGCTGGGTCCATGAGGACCCACATGGGCGGTCCCCAGCTGGCCGTGCCTGCAGCCCCAGGCCCTGGTTGGCATGTCGGGGCTCCGGCTGCGACGGCTTCGGTGACCTCAGGAGCGAGGTGCGTGTGTTCCCCGCTGCTGGGATGTGAGTGTTTCGTCATCACCCCCGGCGCCAGCCCCCCGGGGTGCCCCGAACATGGGGGCTCAGCTCCATCGGCAGGTCCTCCAGCGCCTGTGGGGTCCCGCCTGCGCGCTGCCCGGGCACCGCCACCCTGCCCAGCCTCTCCCTGCCGCCTAGAGAGGGGAGCCCTGCGGGATTGTGGTGCTGAAAGACGCCGTCCTGGGAGGCCGCCCTCCCGAGTCCACGCGCCCTGTGAGCGGCAGTGCCGTGGCTGCCCGTGCTGTCCCTCACAGCGCCGGCGCCTGCGGCTGACTTGGAAGGCATTTTCCTGTTTGGGGACCCCGAGCTTCCCAAAGCCCTATCATGTCGCGTCTACTCTGACACACAGTCCAGCAGGAACTGGCCCTTGTGTGCGGTGCAAGGAGAGGTCAGGCCTGGCCTTTGCACGCGGATGTGCAGGGCCCGCTGCCGGGAGCTGGGTTGCTGCTGCGGCGCCTCCCCCGGCTGTGAGCCGCGCCCTGCCCCTGTGCCCTGGTCCCGCAGCCTCGCCCCGCCCCGCCCTGGACCACGGCCCTCAGCCCGAGGACGGGCCCGTCCTGCAAGGACACGGTGCCGGGGGCAGCCAGGTGTCCTGTCCCGTCCGCCAGGCGCGCTCGGCGTTCTGGGCGCCCGCTCGCCGCACACGTCTGTGTTTATCAGTCCCGCTGCCTGTGAACTGGCTGACGGCGCTTGGGGGGAGAGCTGGGTGGGGGGCAGGGCATCCGCGACCCCAAGTCCCTGCAGGGAGGGGCCCCCTGATCACGCGCCCCCGTCCCCCGATGCCGTGTGCCGTGAGGGGGCCCATGCTCTGTTGCAAACAGCAGCCTTCCCTGTAGACCTGCTGCTCTTCCTGGCGAGCTCCACCTGGCCGCACCCAGCCAGGCGCCCGTCTCTCACCCGTCCTCACATCCACTGCAGACTGGGGGTCCTCTGCTCGCCCTCCGCACCGCTGCCTCCTTCCTTTCCAGCCCCGCTGCCCCGCCCGTCTCCTCGCCGTCTTGCTCAGGCTGTGACTCCAGCGCCGTGTCATGTGGAAACCC